GCCCCCCCCCCCCTACCGAGCGTCCTCCGCGCGGCGGGAGAAGACGGAATCATGTTATGATTCTGTCTGTGATTGAAGGCGCTCATGGGCACGATTCTGCTTGGGCGTGTGTCCCCCTGCACAATTATGACACCCGCAAAACGTGTGTCTAAGCTTGCGAGCAATGCGACTTGGGCGCGATCAGATCCCTAGTCTATTCATCATTTACAATTTGAGTGAGTGTGTTATGCGCAAATTGGTCGTTGTGTCTATCAGTGCATGCATCAATGCATATGTGAAGGTGAGAGCACGCGAGACAATAACATCTACATGCACTCAGTGTCCACCGTTCATGACTTAGTGAAACACTGGAGTGTCCAAGATGGAGCTTCGGAGAAGGTAGCTGTTTTATGTGTTTAGAATGAGACCGTTGAGGAGGAACTGGGGAAGAAAAACTCGAAGCCCCGAAGAAGTCCAGGTCTCAGGGAAATCATGAGCCAAGGTGGCGTACTCTGATCTTAGCGCTGTGAAAGAGATGGGTAGTTGCAAGGCAGCCAATAGATTGCGAAACAGTGTTGGAACACTGAAAGTAAAGCGGATGAAAAATGGCACTTCATTAACGCACGATAACACAATAAATCAATCGGCAAATACCGTCTGGAAGTCTTGTCCATCCCTAAATATGGTTGCCATTACAACGCATATGTGACAATACTGCTGCTGCGAAATATGCAAGGATTTGCAGGGTGTCGTCGATGTTACCTAGGCTACTAGATATTATTGTACGCTGCGCAGTACGCCACCAAACGATTTACTTCGTAGGTTGGTTGGCTGGAAGTCCATTAATTAGAAAAGATAAGGATAGGCATATACACACCTGTCAGAAAACCGAGTGAGACGGACGTTTGCAGGAGCTCTGTTTGTGTTGGTGGTTGGCACATGCTCTTTATATTAAAATCAGTGGGGAATGGAATATTTAACGCCTGCGCTGTGTACTGCTGCGGTGGCGTATTTAAGTGAACATGGGTTGTAATTTGTATGCAATGCAATAAGCCACAAAGGGACTACCCACTTATACAATGCTCTCATGAGGCTTGAAAGCAAGTGTGATGATTGAAAGCTGTATGTAGCTTATGCCTTACTGTTATGATGGAAGTATGATACAGTTATTTTCTTCTGCTGCTAAGAAGTAAAGCTATCTTCCTGTTCAATAACAATACCCTTTTCATCAGGATATGGAACCAAACAAGTGGCTATTTATTTTATCACATCTTTTATTAATGTTGTAACCCCACTTGCCCAATCATGCTCTGTTTCAAATGCCACAGTTATGGGCATTTATGTGTATTGTTTGGAGTTTACCTATGTTGATCAATTTATTTTTTGAATTATTTGGCTCAGACCTGTGTTGTACCTGAAAATGCAATTGCTCACATTGATTGAGGTGAAAAGACAATGGGCACTGAATCTGACAGCTCTTGTCACTAGCCAGCACTGTGATTTTTATTGTAATCATGCTATTCTAGTAAGTTTGGCTTTGGAGCATTTCATGTTATTATTAGCCTATTTGGCCTGTTGCCAGCAGTGTAAATCAGCATTGTTACCTCCTTACTCTACAAAGTTTGATTTCAGGAGATTAGGGACAGCCTCTGAAACAGGCCTGTTCTTCACATCAAAGTTCAAACATGGACCTGTTGGGGTCTATAATGAGTAAGATGGAGAAGCCTCCAGTAACAACTACCCAAGCACAGAGGGAAGCAAAGAAGAAACAAATAGAGGAAGCAAAGAAACTGAAAGAAAAAGAAAAGGAAATGCTCCTGAAGTTTCGCAAAGAGGTATGCAGGGTGTTTTCTCCTGGTATGTTGTATGTATATGTTGTGGTGTGTGTTGTTGTGTTAGTGGCTCATATTGTGCTTCCATCTGTCTTGTTATTTGACAAACAGTATTGCTGAATGGTGACTATTTCTTCATTTTTGAAAGATATGAGCCTTGGTCTGAAATCCCAGGAGTCAAATGTTGACATGATTGCTATTGATAGAACTGTTTTTCTAAGATGCAAATTCCTCCAGTTTTTGGACCTTTGGTGATTCAGATATCAGGGGGCCACTATCAAACTTGGTAAAAGAGTATCATGCATTGATTGCATATTTTGCCTTGTCCAATCAAGGGTATCAAGTCTGCAGCCCTCTCAAGGCACTGTTAGTAGATCAGACTCTTGTGTTAGGTAAACTAGGCCAATTATTCACCTAACATAAGCTTATTTGTCCTTTTATCATCCCCAGGCCATTGGGCACCCAGTTTGATTCAGAATGCATTTGCATGAGTAATTGGATGCATTTTTTACTTCATGCTTGAGATTGACATGGTCAACCTGATCTGGAGGGTTAGCAAGAAGCCTCCAGTACTGTGAGTTCAAGTACTAGTTGACTGCTTAGCTGGCTTTGAGCACATCATCTGCTTTACTCTTCATAGATAAGGTAGTAGGGATGTCCTTATTCCTCAGAAAAAAACAGGAGAATAGAGATATAGATGTGGTGATATTTTGGCAACATGCCTATAGAAGTGAATAACAGAAGGCCATTCTATATCTCCATACTCCTGTTTTTTCACCAGGGAAGAAGGCCATTACTACTGCCTCATCTACGTGCATAACATTCCTCACAAGTGCATGTAACAACTTGCTGTAGTTTCTACTAAAATTGATGGAACTTCATTTGTTGCAGGCTGAAACAGAAGTACAGAAGTTCATGAAAGATGATGTGTTACTGAAGAAGCAGTTTCCACCAATGAATGAAGTCCAAAGGAGCATACTGTGAGCATGCAACATATGTTTTTTTTCTTCATTCCATGGGTAGATGGATACAAATAAACCCATCTATGCAGTTAATGGGCTTATAAGTCAGGTACTAGGCTTCTGGCATGTTTTCAAACAGCACCATGTCATCTCTGCATGACATGCCATATTTATGGTTTGTCATGTGATATTTTGCAATGTACTTGTAGCTGGGTGTCTCCACTCACATCACTAAAGTAGCTGCTACTGGCACAAAAGGATTGAGCGCAAAAAAACATGATTTACAGCTTTAGTATTTCTAAGTCGAGGGGAACACGATAGCTTGATCAACCGACTTTCCGCTTGAGCGGGTAGCACAACGGGGATACTGCTACTCCGCTGTCTTTGCTTCTGCTCGCCGTTCTGCAAAATTGTGGCCCGGAGTGCTGCCATATGGACACGCTACATAAATACTCCGGCGGGGAGCGGCGAAAAGAAGTTCCGATATGGTCTGGCGGGGATGCTCTTCCTTTTTCTGTACGTGGCTGAACAGAAGATTAATCGCGGCGGTGGCATCTCTTAAGCCCACACAGTGGTCTCGTTCTCGTAGAGGGATTCATCCCTTTAGTCCACACAGCGTTCTCGTTCTCTTGTGGGATCGCAGGCTGGATGACCACGGCCCGATGACCTGTGCTTTGCTGACCGGCAGCCACGATGTGGCCGAGGTGGCGGGCCTCGTGTGTCACGCGTTCGGCGAGGAGGGCGTCGACCGGCACATCATGCTGTTCAAGAAGGAGTACGAGCTGGCGGCCGAGGAGGTGGCCGCCCTGCGGCGCGGCGAGGAGTACGACCCGGCCCGGGCCAAGGAGGAGGCGTTCCAGGTGTGTGGCGTCGCCCAGGCGGCGGGAGGGGGTGAGACGATGTCGGACGAGAAGGGGCCCGCCCAGGCAGCTGTGCAAGTGTGTGTGTTTTTTGAAGTATAGTAAACTGTACTTGTAATTTGTGACCAGTTTTTTTTTTGTTCTTCTGCGTGGTGACCGGTGCAGAACAACGGTGAAATTTTTGGCAAGTAATGTAGGGTTCGACTCACCGAACCGCTGTGTGGTGTTTTGACGAGTTGTAAATTTGCCCAAATTCTGGGACCGGCACAGTGATGGTGCCAGTTCAGATGCGCTCGGTTTAGATTGGAACTGGCAAGGTTTGACTGATCTGGACCCTGCCATCAGCTTTCGTTGCACGCAGTACTGATGTGCACGTTTCCTACACCCTTAAAACATACCAAGTTTGTGCTTTGTCGCCTTGTCAAAAACTTCGAAACAAAAGTTGCTTAAGTATTGCAGCGTAGCTATCGATGGACCGGCGATAAGAACGTTTTGTGAATCAACATCATTCGCAGTAACCTGGTTGAGTATTTTTAGCCTTGCGGTACGCCCAATTCCTTGAAGATCACAATCTGGGGTGCAAAATTTTGTTTTTATTGAAGCCAGGGGCACGGAAATTCATTAGAAGTTGTCTGAGCAGATGATGGAATTTATTGTGATCCCATTTGCCGTGTGAGACTACACGATACCAACAGCTATTTTGCTAGTGCGGATTTTAATATCGTGACAGCGTTAATCGACGTTTGCGGCTGCAAACAGCTAAGTCAGATTCGGGCGATTTCTTACAACAATGCCACAAGAAGGCCAGTAAGATAAACAGGTAAAGAATCAAACCCAACTGCGTGTGGATCACCAGACAGCTGTTGCTAGAGACCACGCTCAGGGCGAATGCGTCCGCTTCTCGCCGGGGTTCGCGCGACCTGGGACCAGATGCGTGACCCCCGTGACCCCATGTGCCCACAGCGTGACCTGGCCGAGCAGCTGGCGGAGCAGGAGCAGCGGCAGCGACGCGGCAAGAAGGCGCCACCGCCGCCGCCCGCCGCCTTCCTGCAGAAGCGACAGCACCTGTTCGCCGACGACTCTGCGCAGCGTGCCGCCGTCAACTCGTCGTTTGGTGTTGGTGAGCACGACCACGCCGGCCACGCCGAGCGCTGCCAAACTGCAGACGTTTGACCGAATGCCTTGTGAAAATTAAGGCAAGGGGGCCAGGCATCCCGTGCTTTTATCATGTGCTGAGCTGGTGGAGATACCAGGTGGACGTGTGGGCCTGAGCGATTTTTGTCTTGCGGCTCAGCGATGAGAGGTATGATACAGAGGTATGCCACAGAGGTATGACACAGAGGTATGACACAGAGGTATGACACATAGGTAAGACACAGAGGCATTGGTTTCAAAGGTATGACATTCAGAGGTATGCCATCCCACTAAGCACATTCATGGATATGGCACAGATGCATGCCATTCAGAGGTATGGTAAGGATATATGTCATTCAGAGGTATTACATTCAGAGGTGTGACATTCATATGTATGGTACAAAGGTTTGCCATTCAGGGGTGTGGTACAGTGGTATGGCACAGGGGTGTGCCGCTCAAATACCGGACCCTTTTTGTTGTGTTGTGTCGGTCTGACGATCACCACAAAGCCGTTGCATCAGATTGGACAACATGGAGATGGGAAATATGTCCCACATTAAATATGTAATTCACGTGTAGTGCAGCCCCTTTCCGTGATGAAGTGCCCGTCCTTTAACCGGCGTGTGTCCGTGCTCGCCGCCAGTGTCGAGCTCGCTGAAGACCGACAAGCGGTCCATCGAAGAGACCCTGGCCGACATACGCGCCAAGAAGCGGCGGCAGAGGGACGAGTCGGAGCAGGAGGCCGCCGACGGCGAGCCCGAGCCGGACACCGGCGGCGCCAGATAGTGGAGCGCGCTCGACCCCAGGAACACTGGTCGGGCGCGAGCTACGCGCTCGGGGTCCGTAACGCCTGCGCCGTCGCCGCCGCCGTCGCGTGTTGCAGTGCTCCGCCGGTCCCGCAGGGCGTGGAGTCGCGGCGGGCGCGCGGCGCCGCCCCACCGAACGCGCCGCGCCGGCCGTGTGGCTGCCGCGGGCTGGCACGCTGTCTGAGCGGCCTCTCCGCCTCGCCGTCCGTAGTCCGCAGGCGCCGGCGGCTGTAGGCGAGTGCGTATTTGTACAATGCCTCAGGGCGGCACTGATTGCTGTCGTTTTCGACCCATATCCTCTGTTAGTTGTGCTGTTCGCCGGTTGCCGAGTGCTGTCGCGTGGTGCCGATAATCCGCCTCGTTTCTCAAGGCCGGTCGGCCGGGCCTTTGTTGTCGATCTTCACCATAATGATTGCCTGGGAACGGGGCAGCAGCATGTTGTGCGCACGTCATCCAATCGCAATACAACCGCAAGAACATTTGTCTGAGCCGATTGACGTTCGGTGAAGCGTTACTGGCGAGGTCGAAGTTTTTTTCCTCATAATAACTCACCGGGTTTTTAATAATCATAAAAGCGTGCTGAAAAGCTGGGGGGTTAATGTTAGGTATATAGTTTTGTTATCAGTTCAAGCAGTTGGAGATTACCCCCCCCCCCCCCCCCCCACACACACGCCAACTCAGGCTATAGTCCTCTAAGCTTTGAGAGGAAAGTAGTTCAAATCCAGGAAGAAGCCGTTTTTGGCAGTTCTCGGATTTAGGTTTCATAATTTTTGGCAGCTCAATCCCCCCCCCCCCACCACTCTCACTAAGCGGAGCAGCGCCCCTGGGTAACGAATTAGTGTGGTCGTATGCTGTCACCAATATCTTGTTTCGGACGAGCATGCCATATCAATTCCGCGTTTCACATCTATTTTTGCCAACAGCTCCCATATCTTTTTGGGGGCAATAGCCTCCAGCCCCGAATTTACATCTACCGAATGAAGCGATACACTAAGCTTTCAGTTGAGCATTGAAGGTTGGAGAACTACGTACGAAACACAAACAATACGTACGAAAAACGCGTATCAGCCGCTATGCCATGGAAATTCTCAAACCAGATTGGGAAGGGTTCGCTTCTCTCTTCTCTAGAACTTGTTCCATTTCTAAAAAAACCATGGGCCCGCTTAGATGTCCTTGATGTTGCTGCATTATTTCTGCGACTGGCGCGGTCACAATTCCTCATTAGTGCATGAGGCACTTGGCGTAAGGAGCGACCTATCCTTGCACAGCAGACAATATCTCATCAGATTTTGTTTTGTGTTTGGGGATTTCAGATAACTTTCTGATTCCTTGCTTTGCCGTTGCCCGAGAGCAGATAACCAGCAGGTAAGGAGCAAGTAACCTTATACGTTATTGTAACGGTTTTTCCCAGATATTGCCGTTCTCGGCACCAAATTGTGCGAGGCGGTCGGGGTTCGTATGTGTAAAGGGGTGCTCATCTCGAATATTGCGCGCCCGGGCTTTGAGGCCTCATACTCTCATTTTATCGCAGTTTTGTTTTTAATTGAAGCGAAGCCGAAGCGAAGCACTAAACGGCCGACCAAACCTGCCGACAACCCAAGCTCCGAGCCTTTCATTCGATGTCGCTTGTTCGGTACTCTCTCCTCTCTAGAATATGGTGACCTTGGGTCACGTCAAAAGCGTCCAACACCGCCAGAATTGGCTGCGGACAACCCAATGCTCCGCACCTATGGGATCCATCAGCATGAAAGCAATGGATATGCCATAGTCGATATCTTAACGTATTTGGCACATCGATTGCTGAAGGGTTCATACGGATCGGTCCCACAGGCTTGTAGCATGGGTTCGACTGCAGCCAAATTTGGTGGTTTTGGGAATTTTAGGTGAACTTTGACTAGACTAAGATACCATATACTGAAAGGATAGGATGTCGGCTATGGCACATCGATTGGTGGGTGTTCTATGTTGATCGGTGCCGTGGGTTTAGAGCGCAGGAATGTTTACGCCCTTACTTTTCCGGTTTTTTGTATTTTTGGTGACCTCTCAGCTGACCCAAGATCACCATATTCTGGAGAGGCAAGATTATTGTCCAATTGGCCTCAAATGGCGAAGGTTTAGCGTCGATCGGTGCCAAAAACTCAGGGTACGGCGTTGTCAACATATTTGGCCTGGCTTTTTGTCCCGAAGCCGAAGCTTGCGGAAGTTGGTTCGCGCGGTAGTTGCAAATCTGGTGGCGGGAAGCGAGCTGATTCGTGAGGACAGTATTCCGCTAGGGTAATGCTGCTACACGGGTATTCGGGCAGCCAAGTCCAAACCACAGAACCGCTGAAAAGGTTTCTTTAAACGGCAATCGAAAGCCAGAATGCAATCGCATGAGCCGTTCTGGGATTGGTGATATCTGGCCACCACATGTTCCATGATGTTCGCTTGTGTTTCCTGCGATGTTTTTAAGTGGAACTTTTTTGAGATGAATGCTAGTTGTGTTGCATTCATGTCATTCTTAAAAATAAAAGGTTATTAGAAAACCCTCATTTGTGCAGCATTTCATACTTGATTTATGTCATGTGTAACATGCTGGTAATGGACTAGATTAGGTGGCACATATCTCACCTCTCAGTGAGTTCTTTAAAGGTGATAAAGGTGCAAGATGAATGAATGCAATTGTATCAGCTAAACATCACAAATAAGCTATGCCATGTTGTCATCAGTACATATAACAGACATTTATTAATTCTGTTAACACCTTCATATTCCTCTAAGAGTACCTTGTTGCAATGATATGACACAATCACAGCAGCCAAAGTCAAACTATGCTGTAGATTGATCCGAAGGTATCCGTGCCAGCTGTAGTCTGGCAAGTGGATCACAAATTTTATGTTAAAACAAAAAGTCAACTGTGTCTGCCTCCTTAAGTGCTTAGCTGGCAGGTACTGAGACATTTATGAAAAGCTTTTTGGGGCAAGCAAAGTACTTAATATTAGTACCTTCTGTTGAAAGTGTGTTATACAAATGCTAGTCATTATATGCCAAGACTTCTTATTCTCATGCTGCTTGTATCAGTTTCCCACACTGTCCACAAATGATATTTATAAGAATGGCATGGATGCATCTGATGTAAAGCCCAATGCCTAAAAATGTAAATCAAAACTTTAAGGGTTTTCTTTATGATGATTGCAACTTAATATGAGATAAATTTGCCTGCTTGGAAAAGCATGAGGCTTATGCCTGTATGAAATGAACATTTCAGATATCAACTCAGAATATTCTTCAGTACAAGAAATGGAGCCACCTGAGATATTTGAATTTCCATTTCCACCATACAAGGCTCAAGAAGAGTTTATGAAAACATTATACTGGGCCTTGGAGGAGAAAAAGCTTGGAATTTTTGAAAGCCCTACAGGCACTGTAAGTTCGCATTCTCTGGCATAATTTGCACATAGTGATACTTTTGTGCTGTAAGGCATCATGTTGTGCAGTACCATTTGCATCTAAGCTCATAATGACCAATTTAGTATATTTATCTCAGGTGCATCTGTCTTCATCCAGAACCAGCATCAGGCAGCTTGAATGCAGAAAAAGTTGATGCAGTTTTTGCACATGTTATTGAAGCTAATCTTTCCATCTCCTGATAAGTATAGCAAGACCCTGGTCTGGCCTCCACTCCTCAACCAATCACTACTCCTTTGCTTCCCCAGTATTCCAGCTATAGACCCAAGTCTGGCAGCACCACATCCCACTACGTCAACTCAGCTTGACCCTCCCCTCTCCCCAGGGCAAGTCCCTGGCACTGATCTGCGGCGCCGTGCGCTGGCTGCGCGACCACGAGGCGCGCGAGCAGGCTGCTGCCGAGGCGGCTGTGGAGGAGCTGCGCGCGCCGCCGCCGGCCGCTGCGCCCGCCGCCCTGCCTGGCGACTGGCTGGCTGACCAGGCGGCTGACCGCCAGCGCCGCCAGCAGCTGCAGCTGGCCGAGCGGCGGCTGGCGGCGCTGCGACGCGCGCGCGCCCGCGTCACGCTCCGGCCCGGCCGCCGGCCGCCTGCGCAGGTGAGGCAGGCGGGGGAGGGGCAGGATGGAGCGGCCAGAGGTGTCATTTTTGATGTTTCGTCGTTGATGTGGTAATGTGGCAAGCATTATTTGCTTAAAGCAACAAAACCCAGGAAAAATAGTCTTCCAGTTTCCAAGTCATACTGAGGCTGAGGTTTGGTGCTGTTTCAGGTGTATGCTTAGGGCATTGCGGACATCAATTGACCAGCTCCCGAAGGAACCACGCTGTGTAACGACGGCATATCCTGGCTTAAGACTGGATGTCGTCCGCTTGGGTTCGGGTGAGGCTCTCACGCCTCTGACTTCCCCCGCAGAGTACCGAGCTGAGCCGCCAGGAGGCCGAGTTCCGCGAGCTGTTTGGCGATGTCATCGAGCCGGAATCGTCGTCGGCGCCGCAGGGAGACGACGCGGACCTGATCGCTGACTTCCACAGCGACGAGGAGGCTGGGTCCTCGGACGAGGGCGGCGACGGTGACGGGGAGGCGTACCACGGCACGCAGGTGCGGCACGTCGCCGTTCGGGAGCCCCATCGGGCCAGCCGAGCGTGTGCGTGTGCTTGTTGCAAGCTTGTTGCAAGCTTGTTGCAACATGCTTGTTGCAAGCTCCGCGCTATTTTGATGCAGGTGTTGTTCGCCCTCGCAGTCGGTACGGAAGCCCGCACGTCCCAGCGTCGGTCGCTGTTTCCAAGCTTACTGTTCCATACAGTGTGATATCTTGCAATTCAGCAATCACTGAATGGTATAAACTGCTCAATGCTACATCATGATATGTCAGGCAATGGTGTTGTTCAGTTCAGTCATCTCGGTATCCTTGGTAATGCAGTTTGTCATGCTGGAATGTTTGGTATTACCATGCACAAGCCATCTGTAAGAATGCTCGCCACAGTCCTGCGTTTGGCGTGGTCGGTGACGGACGTCATCGATTCCAGATCATCTACACGAGCCGCACGCACTCGCAGTTGAGCCAGTTTGTGGGCGAGGTGCGCCGCTCGCCTCACGCCGGGCACGTCCGCGTGGCGGCGCTGGCGTCGCGTCCGCAGCTCTGCATCAACGACGCGGTGCGCCGGCTCGGCAGCCTCGGCCTCGTCAACCAGGCGTGAGTGGGGTGGAGGTGGCGGCCCGAGGTCCGAGGTCCGTGGTTGCTCGCCGCTGTGGCGTAGTTGGTGTGTTTTTGGTGTGAGGTCCATGGATTCTGGGTGGTTGTACGCGGAGTAGGGGGAGTAGGGTGGGTGATATGGAGATGTCGGAAGGCTGGGAACAAAGACAGGGAACTCCCTGCTGCAGGTTCAGAAAAGAAGATAAATGCTGGATACTTTTGGTGGGACGCCACAAAATACTGGCAGTTAGGCTTGTGCGTACCTATCACGTTTGTTTAATCACCCTACACGCAAATGAAGTTGTGTTTGTGTGCCATGTGTCGTGAGGTTGCACAAAGGAATAATACATCGGCTCTGTAAATATTGCACTTTCGGAGGGACCCGTGCGTCTTACTCTGTATGTCTGTCTCCAGCTGTTTGGATATGCAGCAGAAATCCACCAGCAAGACCACCAAAGTTTCGAAGGAGGACGGCCGCTCTCAGAAGAAGCAAAAGGCGACGGGAGCGTGCCCCTATAAACGGCGCGTGGACGACCTAGCGATGGAGGTGAGAGCTCCGGGGCGTGCCTGGAGCTTCGGTCAGCTGTGTTGTCATGCCGTAGCCGCAACCAGATCTGCCATGTTCACCAGACTGCGCGCCGACGTCGTTGGCCGGTGATGCCGTTCGGTCTCGTCAGGGGACCGACACCTTAGCTGTCCGTGATGGCCACCCCTGCCGTCGGATTCTGTCAGGGTGATGACTGCCGTCATTCCGTCAGAAGTCCGTCATCTGAACAGTCCATGGTGGTCATCCCTTCCGTCTGATTCTGTCGGAGGTTTGTCATCTTACTATCCGTGGTGGTCATCCCTGCCGTCATATTGTCAGAGGTCCGTCATCTTAACTGTCCGTGATGTCACTTAACTGTCACTGCCGTCAGATTCTGTCAGAGGTCCGCGACATTGAGCAGCTTGTGAAGGAGGGTCGCCGTCGAAAGGCGTGCCCCTACTACGCCAGCCGTCGAGCGGTCAGGGACGCCCAGGTCAGTGGTGGTCACCTCCGCTCCCTCGTGTCGCCCCGCGCTCCCGGCAAAGGCACTGCGTGTGAGCGGTCGATCATACTTGCTGTGTGAGCGCTATGTGGTCGGATTAGTTGGCGAGCGGACGGCTGTTCGGGTGTTGGTAGTGTAGCGGTTAACGCGTCTGCGTTAACCATTGCGTCTGGAAAACCAGAGGAATGGGGTTCGATTCCCCGCGGTGCCCGCTCTTCCTGCCAGGGTGAGCGGCAGGCGACACGAAATAGCCTCAGCAGCTGACTGCGTCGTAAAGCTCCAATGACGCATGGACGGACGGCTGATCGCTTCAGAGCTTTCCTGTCTGACCGTCTGACGAGAGAGATGCGCCACTCTGTCGGTCCTTGGGGATTCGTTTGAGCTCGCGCGCATGGCTACCTGAGCCTGTCCGATCACTGCGACCGAGAGTGGAGCGGGCAGCGACCGTGGCCTCTCCTGCCTGCTTCCGACCAGCCCCTCCCCCGCCGCAGCTGGTCGTGGTGCCCTACAACAACCTACTGCACAGCGGCACGCGCGCCGCCAGCGGCCTGCGGCTCGCCGACAGCGTGGTGATCGTGGACGAGGCGCACAACCTGCTGGAGACCATCAGCAGCATCCACTCCTGCCAGCTGGCGCGGCGCCAGGTGAGCGCGCTCAGCGCCGCTGACCGGATGGCGGGGACAGTCAGTTCCGCTGCGAGGGCGACGTGAAGGCCAGCTGGCGCAGTGTCAGGTGAGCGCGCGCAGCGCCGCTGACCGGGTGGGGGGAGACAGTCAGCTCCGCTGCGAGAGCGACGTGAAGGCCAGCTGACGCGGCGTCAGGTGAGCGCGCTCAGCGTCCCTGATGCGGCGTCAGATGCGGCACCACGCCCCGTGGGATCTAGTTCGACAGCTGCGCGAGGCTGAGGCGTCACGACTGAGGTGTCCACGGGGCCGCTCACAGCCGTCCGCCGAGTAGCCGGCGACTGGTGGCCGTCATCGGCCAGTGTCAACTGTCACCAGGCCGGAGCTCGCACGGCTGCACGCGCTCGGTGTCAGGTTAGGTTAAGGCTTGACAAACTGATCAAGCCCCGCGTTTACATTAAAAGAACATGTTGTCGGCTACGAATAGATCAATGGAGAACGCGGTGGTTTCTAGATGGCCGCATTGTAGCCGAATATCAACACATTGGGACGAAACATCGCAGCATACGAAATTCCGATAATTTGGACACATTTTCATGTAAGGAATATCCGCATGACGTACGACTCCTGATGTCATAACATACACTCCGGATGACACACCTATTAATGTCGTGTCAGGTGGCGGACGCGTGTGACCAGCTCCTCCACTACATAGACAACCTATCAAGAGCAGGTTCTCGCCGAAGAACCTGCTCTACCTACGCCAGGCTGCTAGCCCGTCCATAAGGGCATACTGAGCTCGTCGGTAGGTGGTTTGGCTACCAGTTGGAATGTGTCATGTTTCATGCTGATGAATGTTGAGTCAGTTAATAATGCCGTGTTGTGCCATGATAGTGTGAAATGCCGTGTGGATATTCTATCACAGTCTTTTCTTCGGCCATCTGCGAAAACGATTAGAGCGCGTAGTTTTTTTTCTTTCCTTCTGCGATATTGTCCCTGCCTGCCATGATCGTGTTACCGGCCATCGTCTGGGCGTCTGTTAAGTGTGCTACACACGACCAAGCGATGGATGTGCGTATTATTCCAAACCTTCAGGGTGATGGACCGTCATCCCGTCCATAATTCCTATCCCACTTTTTGTCCGAACACCCCAAAACTATCATGGTAATCGAATATCATCATCTGTATGGCTCGACAACCACCTGTTGCGTGCGGGTGCGTTCGTGTTAATTACCACCACTGAACAGCACCTTGCCCCCTTCGCCACGCCCTTCAGACGGCACCGGCAAGGCGCCGCCGGCCGCAGCCGAGGAGACGCGCGTCCTCCAACTGAACGACTTCCTCTGCGGCGCCGGCATCGACAACCTGAACCTGCGGAAGCTGCAGCTGTTTGCCGAGAAGATCCGACTGGTGCAGAAGGTTGGTGTCGGTCGATGGCTGCGGCTGCTTTCGAGAACGTTTGAGACCAGGCTGGCAGAGATGGCGAAAACAGCGTGTCGCCTGGCCTGCGATGCTGCCACTAAGAAAGCCGACGGAGAGACCGTTGTGGCGCTGTGTTCTGGATGAGACGAACTGTGAGTCGGGTTGCCTATCATCGTGTTGACTGCCAACAACCTTCACACTGTCACACTGACCGCCGATACGCCGACCATACACTGCCCCGTCGGTCCCAGGTTAGGGTGCCCCGGCTGGAATGACTGGGACTGTCTTGGCTCGCCCTCAATCGACTGACGGAGGGTGATAGCTGTGATCCGTTCTGACCGGCCTGGTCTGCCGCGGCCGGTCGCTCACCGACCATTAACGCCCGCCCGCTCGCCGATCCTTAACGCCCGCCCGCTCATGGACCGTTAACGCCCGCCCGCTCACCGACAGCTAATGCCCGCCCGCTTGCCGACCGTTAACGCCCGCCCCGCTGACCAACCGTTAACGTCCGCCCGTTCACCGTCCGTTAACCCACTCTCACCGACCGTTAACGCCTGCCCGGTTACCGACTGTTAACGCCCGTCCGCTCACCGACCGTTAACGCCCGTCCGCTCACCGGCCGTTAACGTCCGCTCATGCTCGCCGCGCCGGCCGACAGCTGCGGGGCTGCTGGAAGCGGCGGCAGGTGACGCCGACAGCGCCGGCCGCCCGCTCGGCCGTGTCGCAGTTCCTGCGGGAGCTGCAGCAGCCGGCCGCCGCCCCGCCCGCCGCCCCAGGTAACCTGGAGAGGGCGCGGTAGGCCGCCGTGCAGACACCACCTATTGGAATGGGTGGGGTGTGGAGGGCAGACCCGACGTGTCTGTTAGTTTGAGTTGGTACATCGAATACTGCTGATGCGTCTGCGTGCCGTGATCCAATCTTTTCTTATAGTGCCGAAGCTGCGCTTGGTCCCACGCTTTCTGGGCAGATTGAGAGCTTGCTCAGCGTACCGTATTATCTACCCCCATGTATTGCGTCCATAGGTGATGTGTTGCTGTTCTGTCACCCACTGCAACCACTTGTGGAACATACACCCACTCTGTGAGCCATATAAAATCCAGTGGGTTTTAGCTGTCCATTTGCCCTGTCTGATGCGTTTCAGTGGAGCCTGCGGAGACCGACTCTCGGTCCTCGGATATGCCGCTGATGGCCACGCTTCAGCTGATCAACGCCCTCTCGGAGCCCGACCGGGACTGTCGGCTTCTGATTACCACCGCCAGGGCGGAGCCACCATCGATCAAATACCTGGCGCTGAACGCAGCTGCCCAGTTTCAGAGCATCGTCAGAGAGGCGCGGTGAGTGTTGCATGTGGTTTGAAGTTCTACATACACAACGCAAATGATGTTCTTGGATGGAAATGTGAAAGAGGATATTAAGGTCCGAGTTGCTGGTTGTCCCGATCACTTGGTGTCTAGAGTTCCTAGTTAACCTCGTCGTAGTGTCCCAAGTTCCCCTGCGCCAGAATTTTCCGTATTTCCTGACGTAATATGTTGTGATCTCCTCGTGGTGTCAGAATAGTCCGTTTATGCCATCGTAAGTGTTCGGTGTTCCCTTATCTGAAATCCGCTGGCTTCATGTGGCGGAGTTTCCCGTGCGTCCCATTGTCAAAGTTCCCATCTTTCCCGCCATCGAAGTTCACCGGGGATCCCATCGTCTGCTATCGTGCTTTTGCCAGCATCGGAGCCTCCGTTGCTGCCTGTGTCGGAGTCCCTGTGTGCCCGGTGTCAGAGCTCCTACACCAGGCCGCTACCGTGGTGAGCAGCCCGTCTGCCCCCCCCCCCCCCCCCGCGGCGCGGCGGCCGTGATCAGCTCGGCTCCCCCTTTGGTGACGCTCCCTCCCCTCAGCGCGGTGATCCTGGCCGGCGGCACCATGCAGCCGGTGTCGGAGTTCCGCGACCAGCTGCTGGTGGCGGCTGGCGCCGCTCCCGAGCGCGTCACAGTCTTCTCCTGCGGACACGTGGTGCCGGCCGACCAGCTGCTAACGCTGTCGCTGGCGGCCGGCCCGTCCGGTGCCGAGTTGCTCTTCAGCTACCAGAGCCGCGCGCAGCGCACCACGGTCAGAACGCGCCGGCGTGCAGACGATGCCCCGACCGTCTGCGGCCGCGGGCTCGCTGAAGCCGGCCACAGACGTGCAGAGGTGGTGGCTTAGCTTGACCTCTGGATGACGGTTAAGACTGGACGTTTTATGTTTGCTGTGTTGTTCTGGTGTTGTGTCAGTGTGGGAGTGACCGTATCTTTTCACCTCATTGAGTGGTGAACGGCCGCGTGGTATCCCGAGACGCGGTGTAAGACCGGTTGTGACGACACGTTTATCGCTGGATTGTTTGACGTCGCCGGCCGCGTCGGCGACCTACTGACGGCATCTCGCAGCTGTTCTGAGCCGACGAAGCATTAGCAGCCGAGATCGCGCGTAGTTCGGGCAGCATCACAAGCCGTGCGCATAGGACGATGAAGCTGCCGTTACCTCTGCAGGGCTCCACACCTGGCTGGGGGCCGCCCTCTGGAGCCAAGCCCGTATCGGCCGCTGGCTGACCTGCGCCATGCCCGTCGTCTGTGCCGGCAGCTGGACGAGCTGGGCCGAGTCCTGCTGAACCTCTGCAAGCTTATCCCGGCCGGCATCGTCTGCTTCCTGCCGTCCTACGACTACGCCGCCGCCGCGCTCGCCCACTTCGCTTCCACCGGCGTCATGGACAAGATCTCTGCCAGGAAACAGGTACTGCTGCAGAACATGGGTATTGCTTCGTGCGCCATAGTTAGGGCGTACTGGCACAAGGCTGCTGGTTTGCTGCGATGGTGTCGTTTTAGGCTTGATGTCTGCGATGCGTTTTACCGAATAATTGGATTATCCTGTTGCGCTGTCTTGTGAGGACCATCGTGGATGGAGCACAGTCGTACATCTTTTTAGTAGATCGGGGCAGTATGGCTAGAGCCCGGGATCCATCCGCCCCGGCCTCGTGTCGCCAGATCCGCTTTTGTACTGTTGTGTGTCAGGCTTGGGTTCATTGTATTGCCGGACTGACTCGGCCCCTCTTGACTTGCTCGTGCTGTTTGTTGCATCCAGCTGCTGCTGCGTGGTACGTTCTGCCTGACCTGACTTGCGACCTGTGGAGTCCTCCCTGATCCTCGCCAGTGTATTCGTTCAGACGTCTTGACCTGACGTGACCTGACCTGACCTGACCTGACCCGTCACCGGCAGGTGTCCTGTGAGCATCGCCAGTCTAGCCTGTTGGATGTGTTGACTTGGCTTGACCTGACCTGACCTGACCTGACCTAACACGACCCGACTCGGCACCGGCAGGTGTTCCGTGAACCTCGCCAGTCCATCTGATCAGACGTATTGACCTGACCTGACCTGACCCGTTACCGGCAGGTATTCCGCGAGCCTCGCCAGTCGAGCCGGTCGGACGCCGTGCTGGCTGAGTACACCCAGGCCGTGAGGTCCGGCCAGCGGCCGCCGGCCGCCACAGGGGCCATTCTCTTCTGCGTCGTCGGTGAGAGCACGGCGCCATGTCGCGCGGGTCGTCCCCTGCAGCGTTGGAAACGCCGCAAGGTCGTGGGGTAGCGCCGCAAGATGGCGGGATCCTGCGCGAAATGATGTTGTGTACTTGCCGTCCTTCGTGCGCCCGGGATGGCGCTTACAACCAGCTGCTTAAGTTGCCTCCTGCACCACTGGTGTTCTTTTGCGCATATTTCAGCAGGCTTTCTGAAAAAGAGTTAGTTGTTTTAATGTGTCAAGTTGTAGTGACAATGGAAGCTTTGCTTCCCACTGATTGTAAAGATGCTGAACGTGTCTCCATCACGCCAGCGTCCTGTGCGCACGACCGCGTGCCGTACGGCTCAGTCATGTACTTCGGGGTATGCTGCGTGCTCAGATAAACGTCCGTCGACAGTAACTTCTATTGACGCTAGTGTGGGCTGCTGTAAAAACAACGCGTTCATCGAGGAGCCTGGGGCACGCCCCTTTGTGGGTCCGTCGTCCACAAGACGTACGTGCCGCACCGCTGTATCGTGCCCCAGTGCTCCGCCGTGTGCTCTAGTGCTCCGCTGTGTTCCAGGCGGCAAGATGAGCGAGGGCATTAACTTCAGTGACGATCTGGGCCGCTGTGTGGTGGTGGTCGGCCTCCCATACCCCAACGCCAAGTCGCCCGAGCTGATGGAGAAGATGAGGTTCCTGGACGCCAACATGGTACGTGGGCTGACTTAGTGGCCTCGGTCTGCGTCGTCACTGGTTTCTTGACACCAATGATTGAAACGAGCATTGAAGTCAATCAGATCTGCCGCGTTGTTAATTGCGGCTATTGTGCGAGTGGTCCACCCGGCGTAAACCTCGCCAACCTGGCGTTCTCCGTCGGATGACATGCGTATCAATGGCGTCGTCTTAATGTACGCTGGAATGAATGTACGCTCCACACATGAATGATCACTGAAAAGATGCGCAATGCACGTGCATGAATATAGCTGCGAGGTTGCGTTTAGCTTTGGTGCTACTTAGCCCGCGCACGTTTTTTATGCGTGATGCAGCTGAACCATGCAAATTCGAGACCCGTGACCATTCCGCTCATCCATCCATGCCGTACCATTACGCACCATTACGCACCATTACACACATTACGCACCAGCCGGTGTAAGGCTCCGCTCTGCCTTGCCGCCCAGCTCGGGCGGCTCCGAGTATGGTGAGGGTTTGTTCGGACGCCGAGTCAGCCAGCACTGACAGAGGCAGTCGGAGGACAGGGTCCAGGCAGAGACTGAACGAGGACGGTGTGTAATGTGGCCTGCCTCGGCTTCAGCAGCGGTAGGAGGACGGTGTGTAATGCTGCCTGCCTCGGCTTCAGCAGCGGTCAGAGGACTGTGTGTAATGCTGCCTGCCTCGGCTTCAGCAGCGGTCAGAGGACTGTGTGTAATGCTGCCTGCCTCGGCTTCAGCAGCGGTCAGAGGACTGTGTGTAATGCTGCCTGCCTCGGCTTCAGCAGCGGTCAGAGGACTGTGTGTAATGCTGCCTGCCTCGGCTTCAGCAGCGGTCAGAGGACTGTGTGTAATGCTGCCTGCCTCGGCTTCAGCAGCGGTCAGAGGACTGTGTGTAATGCTGCCTGCCTCGGCTTCAGCAGCGGTCAGAGGATTGTGTGTAATGCTGCCTGCCTCGGCTTCAGCAGCGGTCAGAGGATTGTGTGTAATGTCGCCTGCCTCGGCTTCAGCAGCGGTCAGAGGATTGTGTGTAATGTCGCCTGCCTCGGCTTCAGCAGCGGTAGGAGGACGGTGTGTAATGTGGCCTGCCTCGGCCTCAGAAGCGGTCTGAGGACGGGCGCGTAATGCCGCCTGCCTCGGCCTCAGCAGCGGTCGGATGGCGGTGTGTAATGCCGCCTGCCTCGGCCTCAGAAGCGGTCTGAGGACGGGCGCGTAATGCCGCCTGCCTCGGCCTCAGCAGCGGTCGGATGGCGGTGTGTAATGCCGCCTGCCTCGGCTTCAGCAGCGGTAGGAGGACGGTGTCTAATGCCGCCTGCCTGGTCCACAGAAGCGGTCGGAGGACGCTGTGTAATGCCGCCTGCCTGGTCCACAGAGGCGGTCGGAGGACGCTGTGTAATGCCGCCTGCCTGGTCCACAGAAGCGGTCGGAGGACGCTGTGTAATGCCGCCTGCCTGGTCCACAGAGGCGGTCGGAGGACGCTGTGTAATGCCGCCTGCCTGGTCCACAGAGGCGGTCGGAGGACGCTGTGTAATGCCGCCTGCCTGGTCCACAGAAGCGGTCGGAGGACGGGCGGGCGCCCGGCCAGGTGCTGTATGAGAACCTCTGCATGAAGGCCGTCAACCAGTCGATCGGCCGCGCCATCCGCCACCGGTGAGCGCCTGTTTGACGCCTCCTAGCGCCAAACAGGTGCAGACGGCGCCTGTGGGACGCTAGGAGGGACGCGCGCGATGTGAGCGAGGGACTGACATATTGTGTACTGGCGCGTGATGGCTACCTGAAGTCACACGCGCCTTATGGATAGTTTGCGTGAAATAACGTGAATAAGAAAAGTCGTGAACTTTTGTGTTTGAACTTCATCAGTGCAAGCAATGCCCTTGCACTTGTTCTTTGATCGATGTGCTGTCCTTTTCACTTTTCTTCGCGATTCGGTGCCGCCTATTCGTGTATAAATGGACGTTTGTGTCACGGTGTGATCGTGGTCGCAGGAACGACTACGCCTGTGTGGTGCTGTGCGACGCGCGATACGGCAGGGCCAGCGTGGCGGAGGGCCTGCCGGAGTGGATCCGCAGGGGGCTGCAGCACCACGGCCGCTTCGGGCCCGCCTTCGGCCAGATCAGACAGGTCAGGTCACCGGTCGCTGGTGGGCAAAGGTCGGCTGGCTGTCCGAGGTTAGGTCAGCGGACTCACGGTGGTATGAGGTCGAGGTCAGGTCGGCCGTCAGGGTGGTGTGAGGTCACGGGGTCAGGTCAGATGGCGGTCAGGGTCAGCCAGTCGACTGACACTCAGGGCCAGGTCAGGCACTGTGTTCAGTTCAGTTGACTGGACGAGGCCGGTAATTTTCAGCTTCAGGTCAGCTGACCATCAAGGTCGCGTCAAACGATTTTAGGGAGTGATCGCATGGCAGCCAGGGCCAGCTCATGGCAGCGGGGCAGTTTCCTAGTCATATGTCGGCTTCAGTAGCCTACCCAACTTAAATAAAAGAACGGGTGAAATCCGGGGAGGAACGCGTTTTTAATTTGGAGGGGAGGCGGGTTTAGCACTTGTCCTTGCTCAACCTCCCAACTTATTGGGAAGGTACGCCCCTAGCACCTATAACTGTTTAGGTCGGTCGGGCTGGCCGTCGGTGTCTTGAGACAGCTTTTGGGGCGGGTCATCCGGCGGCCAGCCAGCTGTCAGAATCTGATCACCTGTTGTGCTCACATTACACATATCTGTTCAGTGCGAGCTGCCAGGGTCAGGCCAGGCAGTTGGTCCCACATGCAGGGCCGATGGAGCGGATCAGCTGGTTGACCTGTGACCGGCGCTCATAGGACCGGACCTGTCAGTGCTGACGTTGATCGGGGTGTGGTGTGGTGGGGGGGGGGGGGGGGGGGGGGAGAGGGGGCCTACCAAGACAGGCCAAGCAGCCCCGCCGAGGCCGGTCCGTGGGACTGTTCGTGACGCCTCCCCCTCCCCCCGAATGATGTACAGCAGTGGGATCGCAGCGTCGCGATTCAGATTGTGCGTTGTAAATGTTATGTTTCGTACTGGCGTTTAGTTTCACGTGCATGGTCTATGTGCGTCTGGTGCAACCACCGACGAGTCTGTCACGCTGGTTGTGGAGAAGGGACGCAAAACACACCTGTTGTTGAGCTCTATCCACAACCTAGCGATTGCGAGTCAGGCATGCTCGTTACACGGACATGGACCGCGATGTCCGCAGTTTCGCCGGAATTCGACTGGCGTGTGATGCTTACAAAGCGTGCGTGGTTCTAAACAGGTCATACATTTGTTTTTTCAGTTCTTCACGACCATGCAAGAGAAGTTTCGATCTTCATGAAACAAGTGGGAATTGACAACGTTGAGGGAGCATTTCTCCTCTCGTGTAACCGAACGGCACAACGTTTGCCAGCGGGAATAGGCACTTTTCGTCGCATCTTCTCCAAGTAACCCCTATGTCAATATGTGCAAACGGCTGAGTTTGCCTGTGGCGCTGAGCGGATGGTGTGAATGCTATAGCCTGTGGAGTGAAAAGGACGTGTATTCACGGATAATTTTTATTTTTATAGGCGTAGTTCATTGTTGGCAAAGATCAATACATTGGTGCGCGTGAACATCAGACATTTAAGTACTCACCACTCCCAAACCCCATGTGCGTTTTCAGTCATTCGTGTTTCGGCGCGAGGAGTCGAAGGCGGCGGAAACGCGTGTTGCTGTATTTCTCGGCGACCAGAAACCACGCTGCCAGTCCCAACACACAGCTTGGGTGGCAGACGCAGCTGGGTTCGATTTCCACCTAGGGTGTAGCTGTTCCCAACAGAGGGAAGCTCGTACCTCATATTATTAATACGTGTCTAGTTGTTGATGCTCACATGTTTTATTGGTGTATTCACGTGTCATGTACGTGATATTCTTACTACTAAACATGCGTTGTCAGTTGTAGCCCCTTTGTAGTGGTATTACACGGTATCTAAGAAATCATCGGCGTTGTCTAGCTGACGGGCTGGGCCCCAGCTGACAAAAAAGTGACACCAGAGCATGCGTCCAAAAAATTTCAAAGAATTCAAAAGATTGCCAAGCGCAGGGTGCTATGCTTTCCTTCTCAGTCTTCTCTGCGTATAAAAGCAGGGCTTTATGCATAATATAACGCTTATTCGTATATTTTGACATATAGGTGGATAAGCAGACTTGTAAGACATCTGGAGATTACAATATGAAGTGGCGACCACGACCGGCTGGACACGACACGGCGGTCATCGCAGCACGGGTCATTCCGTCACCTGTCCATACACAACACCAACAAGCATGGACCGAGGGTGGGCGGCCTCGGCGGTCGCATAATTGACATCCGTTCAGCATCATCCGCATCAGCTCGCATTTCGTGCTAATGGCCACCAAACGCAGGCACGCAGGAAAAGGTGTGCAGTTTTCTATTTCGTTTGCAGGAATGAGACTACAGTCCTACCATCCACGCGGAGAAAGCTGTCAGTCCTATTCGTAGAGAGCCGTCCATGTGTACAGCGAGACGGGTTTGGCGATAGTTTCCTGCTTCCTCCGCCCCCCCCCCCCCCCCAGCGAATTTCGCGGACCCAACCCTACACGGGAATGTACACAAACGAGATCAACCCAGCCCACTGTCGTACATGGGGTTCCTAGGCCACGATATTCTCGCCCCACCAATATTTCGCCTCTGCTTCCATCCCTGATGCCAAGCTCGATAGCGCAAAGCAGATAACGCGACATCGAAACGTTTGTTTCTCTGCGCCGAATACATCAAAAGCAAAAAAGCCTGCCACGCTAGGCAAAGTGCTGTCGTTCTCGTTACCGTGACGAGCATATGGCAAATGTTTTTCCGTCGCTAGCTGTTGTGGGACGAATTCACGAAGAAAGACACATTCTCTGTATAAGTACAGAAAACCCATGCCGCACATTGACGGCCGCCCTGTCATTTCAATAACTACCGCAAAGGAACAAGCAGGGCGGGGAATGACACCTCAACATGCAACATACAACGTGAATGACCTGCTGTCCTCCCAGTGAGTCGCGTAGCGGAATCTGGGGCCGTCGTCTTCACCACATCACTTCAGCGCTTCACGTGGCATGGCGCCGACACAACGTCGCGCATTTGCCAGCCCCGCCCGCAAACGCACGTGCCCCTGACTGCGCGGAATCACGTGATCTGTGCGATAGCATCCGCGGTGGCTGCAGCGGCGGCCAAGTCGAGCTTGTTGGCCGGGTTCTTGGGCCTGCCGTAGATGTTCAGCTTGATCTGAAACACGCCGGTCGGAAGGAGATGTCAGCTCGCAGGCGGTTGTCAGTGAAGGAGCACGCGGGACGGGCATTGTGTTCCCAGCAAGCGGACCACAAGTGATACGTGAGAGGTGCGTCGTGGCGGCCCAGCCAACGGCCGACGCGGCTCAATGCATGGCTTTACAGCGCGGACAGGGAGATGACCGGGGCTGCCGATCCAACATCCACGGTCCACGTTGGGCCTAACCAGGGACGGGTCAACGACGCCGGGCAGTCCGCGATCTTTGCCAGTGGTCATCGCTTCCCGCCGCCACCTGCCACCAGGCAGGGGTGACCCACAGACAACGGCCGACCGCCGTCGGGGCAAGCACACGTGTTCGGCACCCGTCGCGTGTCGACACTGCACGGCTGGTTCTCCCGCCTCTGTACCCACCACGGAGCGACGCCGCTTCCCGCGGTCCCCTGCCCATCGTCCCCGCCACGGACAGCCGTCTCCGTCTCCTCTCCAGCCTCCATCACGAGCCATCTCCTGCAGGGCCCCCACCGAGTCCTCATCATCGCTCCCCAGAGCAGTCCGTCTCCACCCCGCCTCCGTCCCCTCCGTCGGCGGCCGCCGGGCGGACTGACCTGGTGCTGCTCCCAGGCGTGCTGTTTGACGGCCAGGCCGCAGCCGTACACGGCCCGGCACGCCGGGCACGGGTAGCCCAGCTGGCCGGCCGGGTTGTGCGCCGGCAGCGGCGCCACGTGCAGCCCGTGCGCCGCGTGCTCGTGGTTGAGCAGCTTGCGGCGCTCCTCGCTGCGGTGGCTGCAGGCCGAGCACTGGTAGCGCAGCTGGAGCGTGTGCACGCGCCGCGTGTGGATCTCCAGCTCCGCCCGCCGGAAGAACCTGCCGGCCGCGCGCCACGTGGGAGCGAGCGGGAGCTGGGGCGCGCCGGAGGAGCTCGGTGTGCCGAGTGAGCGGCGGCACGCTGGTTACTGGTGATATTGTGTACGACTCCTCCAGGCCTGTCATTAATGTAATAGATAATAGTAGCCTCCTGGTTTTGATCAGGAACAGTGATGACTCTTAATGTTCCAGTTCTTGTCATTTTTGAACCCTTCGTCACCAGAGTACGCTTAAGCTAGCTTCTTTACTCAATGGTTCTTTGGACACCTACCGAGAACTACCCCGCGACAACGTTGGCCATGGTGACGATCTGGGACTGGGATGGCGATGGTGACATGAAACAAGCGTATTCCCCAAGCGTAAAGCGTAACAGGTAAACTAAAAACCCAGTTTTCAACACTGCAGCAAGCACGACTGCCCAAACTCCGTCCCGCTGCTTAGCACTGCAGAACTACGGCCGGCGCGCCACTCACTTGAGCCCGCACTCCTCGCAGACGAAGTCGTACTGGCCGTGCTCCTCGGCGCGGTGTTTGTCCCGCTTCCAGAGCGAGGCGAACCCCTCCGGGCAGAGGCCGCACGGCACCGTCTGCTGGTGGAAGCTGCGCACGTGGCGCAGCAGGCCGCGCTGGTGCAGGAACGTCCGGCCGCACAGGGGCTGCGGGGGGGGGGGGGGAGGGGCGGAGACGGTCAGTGGAGCGTACATGGGCCGGCCCGGCCGCGGGACGCCGGCGATGGGCACTGGGTTTGGCTGCATCGGCCATAATCTAGTACAGAGCCGACTGGTAGAGCCGACTGGTAGTCAAAGGCACAGGGGATCGCGAGATCCCAGTCTTCCGCGCCTCGCATGTTGCCACGTTACGCACTTACCACGTACGCACGTTCACCAGCATGCTATACATGTGCTTACGTTCGCGCCCTAACGTTCAAATCTGGTTGAACAGTGTTACATTTTGGCCAAAAATAGGATAACATCTTTAAAAAATGTTATCGTGCATACTTTCGTGCATTAGCATTTAAGCTTACACATTACAAAAAGCTTGTCACATACGATGTTTCCAGATGCCACAGTTCAGGATTACAGGATTAACAGGATTAACGACAATCATCTTTTCACGATTTAACCACATACATCACGACGGTGTGCCGCCAAAATTAAACCCAGCCAAAATTAAAAACCAGTTGGACAATGACGTGAGAGCCAGGGCGTGCGCAGGCCCGTCGACACTCGAGAGGTCATACAGGCACGGGCGAGACGTCGTCGCACAAGGCTCTGTCTTTGCGGTAAAAAAAAATCCGGCAAAATCTTCACAAAAACCTTCTCCGAACCAAAAAGCAAAACACCTGAAAATGCAGTGGTATCACGAGTGGTTAAACCTATATTAATTTACCTATCTTCAATTCGTTTTGAGCCTATGCAACACGCATTAATGATAGTCGATGATGAGCAGTGGTACCCATTTTCAGCAAACAACGAGATCAGCTAAGCGAAATACGGATCTTACCTCAGAACAAATAAACTCCTTGTCCATGAAGTGTTTGACCTGTAGGTGAGACAGGTAGTGCTTTTTCTGAAACTTGTGGTACTGTTTTCCACAGAACTCGCACGTAAGGAGAGTGTTGGGATCTGCAAGCTTGTGGACCGCTTCCTGGCAAAAAACGCGGGGCATTCCTTGTGAACGCCGACACGCGACACTAAACACAACTCAGCGTGATGGAAAATGTGTGTACGAAGTCAATACAAAACAACAGCAAACTAAAAATAATCGGATTTTCTATAGCCGACAATAAGCTACATTTCTTATGCCACTTCCTCTTAACACTCAGTCATCACTCTGCCTTCTTATGGACCCCAAGACCGCCTTCGTCCCCGTCCCCTATCCGGAGAACACCCGACCAGCCGCCGGCCATCTGCCCGTCCCGCAGCGTCGCCGGCCGCACCTGGTGCGTCTTCAGGTAGGTGCTGTTGAACTCCTTGCCGCAGAACTCGCACTGCGTCATGGTCACAGCGACGGGCGCCGGCTGAGGCAGGGTGAGCAGAGAACACGCCGGTTACGCGGGGGGAGAGGTCACAGACGAGCCTGCTCGCTAGGGTCACTTGGGACATCAGAACGGGCGTCTCGAGATGTCTGAGACCCTCGAACGAAGGCGGGACGCGCCACAGAGGCGCTACACGAATCCCCTAGCGAAGTTTTCGATCCGCTGGATTACACGGGGATACCGCGTCGGGAGCCCGCAGTGTCGCCGCCCGTACGTCCGATTGCTGACGGGCCTAGTCCAACGAATGCTCGAGAGTAGGTACAATGATATGCGAACACTAGCACCATGCGATAGCCAACGACACCAATGGCCACGGCCCGTGCGCCAGAGCGCCGGTCGCGCCCCGCCGAGCGGCGGCGCGCCTGTGCGCCTCACCTCCCTGTGCACCCTCTTGTGTATGCCGAGGGCGCGCCTGCACCCGTAGACGGCGCCGCACACGTCGCATGCGTATCGCTCGCCCTGCGCCACCGCCACGCCCTCCGGCGCCGCAGACTCCACCTGCACGGCGGGCCGGGTAGGGGTCAGAGTCGGTCAGCTCCGTTATCACCGCCTGAGGCCGGGCGCCTCCACAAAGACGCGGCTCCCGTCTCCGCCCAGGGCAGGTCAGGTCACGACAGCCAGAACTCGCGCCGTAACTGAGTCCGGCCGGGATCGACCTAGCCTGGACGAGACGGCACGGACGGAGCAGTGCCCTCACTAGGACGTCCCTGACACGGACCCGCGCCGTACCTGGACCCGCGCCGTGCCTGGCACCGCGTGTACGCTTCGATCTCAGTTCACGTCCGGTCTGACAACTCTAACATAAAATCCCATGGGGTTAGAGCAGCGTGACGTCCAAGCCGGGACTCCGACAAGGGTCAACGTCGACCCTCGCGTCAGACCAGGTCTGACCTTAGGTCAAGTCAGACCGGCGTGCCGCTGACCTTGGGCAGGGCGCCGTGCAGGCCGTGGGCGCGGTGCTCGTGGTCGCGGATGCGCGCGCGGACCGACGACTCCCGGCCGAGCCGTTTGACCGGCGGCCGGAACTCGCAGACGGAGCACTGGAGCGCCTGCAGCCGCTCCTGCCGACGGAGAGAGACTGAGGGACGCGACATTGGGAGCCGCTCCTGCCGACGGGAGGAGGCAGAGGGACACGACACTAGGAGCCGCCGGAGTCGGGAGCCGCTCCTGCGGACGGAGAGGGGCTGAGGGACGCGGCACTGGGGGTCGCCGGAGTCGGGAGCCGCCCCTGCCGACGGAGAGGGGCTGAGGGACGCGGCACTGGGGGTCGCCGGAGTCGGGAGCCGCCACTGCCGACGGGAGGAGGCAGAGGTACGCAGCACTGGTGGCTACCGGGGGTCGGGAGCCGCTCCTGCCGACGGAGGGAGGCAGAGGGACGTGACACTGGGAGCCGCCGAGACCGTGGGCCGCCCCTGCCGGCGGAGAGGGGCTGAGGGATGCGATACTGGGGGCCGCCGGGGCCGTGGGCCGCCCCTGCCGGCGGAGAAGGGCTGAGGGATGCGACGCTGGGAGCCGCCGGGGTCGGGGCGGCACCAGCATCGGACTCAGCTTGGGAGTGACTCCTAAGTATGAGCGTCAGATTCCAGTCACTGTTGGAAGGTAACAACCGACGAATAACAAATTAGATAACGACACTCTCCAGCTGAATGCAGGTAAAGCAGTTGATCAAGCGTTATGTCATTCATTGAAAAAATTAATGGTTTAAAAAATAACAAACAGACCATGAGAACTTCCGAAAACCATACTCAAACATAAAAGTTAGACAGGGAATATAAAACACATTGGAAACAAAGTCTAAGGAGCTTTTTAGCTTTTTCTCCGAATTTTGCTATGAAATGCTTACACATGTTCTTCTAAACCAGTACTGCCAGCAGTCACTTACCACAATTTTCGCCCGCCTCATGTGCCGCGCCTCCTTCACTAGGTGCTTATTTAGCATCACCTTCCGGGCAAAGCCAGCGCCGCAGTTTGGACACACGAACTTCCGAACTCCGTGTGTGTCCGCGAGATGTCGGTAATACTCGGTGAAGTCCCGGAACACGACGTCGCAGTGGCGACACCGCTCGCCCGGCCCGTGAATCATGCGCCGGTGCGTCACCAGCGTGCTGCGGGCCCGGAACGTCTTCTGGCAGATGGTGCACGTGTTGGAGCCGAGGGTGGTGCGGTGCGCGGCGTGCCGGTGCGCCGCCAGGCCGGCGCGCGTCCCGAACTGCAGCCCGCACGGTCGGCAGTGGAGCGGGCCGCGGGGCGCCGGCGGCTGGTACTCAACGTCCGAGCCGCCGTCGTCCGCCGCGGCGCCGCCGCTGCCGCCGTCTGCGTCCTCGGACGGCGTCTCGCCGCCGGCCTCCGCCCCTGACGCGGCCGGCTCCGGCCGACCGTCAGCGGGGTTCGTCGCCAGGCCCGCCCCGCCGGCCGCCGCCGCCGCTCGGGCCGCCACGACCTTGCCCGCCGGTGCCGGCGCGGCGCCCGGCTCCGTCTTCACCTGGACGAGGTCGAGCGGGTCAGGCCGGCGGCGACGTCCGACTGCCGGCAAGACGGCACCACCGGCCGGCGCCGGCGGTCGTCCACAACGACGAGAGCTTCGCCGCAGGCAGGGCGCTGGCTCTGGCTCTGGCTCCGGATCTGGCTCTGGCTCCGGCTCTGGATCTGGTTCTGGCTCTAGCTCCAGCTCCGGCTCTGGCCTCGCCGAGTTCGGCTTATGCCTCACAGACGCTTCTAAAACGGGACACGATCAGTCGTGAGAAGGCAGGCAGGCTATTGGAGGCCAGACAAACTGCTGGAACAACGCAGCAAAGTGCAACAATCGTATTTCTTTAGCATTATTGATAATTCTCATCGTGCTGGAGAACCCCACCGTTTTAAGGCAACATTGACGTCATTTAAAGACGCTTTAAGTGTATCACAAATATCTGCCAGGGCCATCTTCTTTGAAAACCATCCCAAAATATCTGCAGGGCCATCTTATTTTGAAAACCATCTCACTAGTGAAGGACATCAAAGAGCCTAGATAAATTACCTGTGACAGTGATGTCTACAGATCCTGGAGTGTCTGTATGCATGCAACCCTCATGTCTCTGAATGAGCTCAGTTCGGATTTCGGTGACCTTAGCTTCATGGCTTCGAAGATCACGCAAGAGTTGTGAGCACTTTGGACACAGGCACTGCTCCTCGTCCAAGCTGAAAACCGGACCCGGGGAATCATCAAGCATTGCATGGAAATGCATTCAGTGCATTTCTTAGATGGTAGCCTCATGTAACAACACATCATTCAGCATTCAATGCACATGATAGACATAAAATACAACAGCAAAATATAATCACACATATTCAGCACAGCCAAAGCTGACCAGTTCAGATCCAGATCCAGTATCCAAAGGAGTCCCTGATCAGCTTCCTTGGAGGACCACTCCTGTTGCCACTCTCCCAGCCTGGAACTAAGCTGGCTCTTGTGAAGCTTGCATCTGGTTCCACAGATCAGGCAGTTGAAGTTCATTTCTTCTTGGCTGCAAGGAGCAATGTAATGTGCATGAGTATCTCTATAGCTCAAGTCATACCCAGTTACAGAACATATGATGACAAATGCCTTAAGTTTACAGGATGCATGAAAGGACCAAAAGAGAACCACAGAAATCACTGGCTAATGAGTTGAGATAGATTAGCATATATCATGATTGCATGAGCCATTCCAGTGGCAGGGCTAGCATCCAGGAAGAAAGAAAGCAATGCTCTGGTAGGGCAAAGTCTTAGCCTGTGCACTGACCCAAGAAAACCACTGTAAAGAATGTGACAATGGGTGGAGACTGGATAATGTGGTGAGCAGTGGGCACTGGAGAATGTGGTGAGCAAGTCATAACATGCAAGATGGTCTGGCAGCATCCAACACCAGCTTTGCACAACTAAAATTTATTTTACCACTTTAGCTAGATTGGCCCACCCCAATCTGGGCCAATCTGGTCCTATCTGACCCTGCCTGGGTCATCCAGTTCCAGCTGCTCCCACCAGATCCCACCAGTGCAATCCATGCCATTTTTAATGGTTCATGAGCAGTCTGCATGCTATCAGGATACAGTGACATCAAAGAATTCACCAGTCAACTTGAGGCACAATGGCCCCAATCAGCTTGCTGTGTCATGACCTTGCTAATGTCAAGCAGTGGCAAACTGTCAGGTTTCCACTATCTGAGCCACTGCTACAAGCAAACATGTACAATATCAGGTACCTATCTATCATGTATGGTACCTGCATGCAAGGGTGCAGAAACCAAGAGGGCCATAGGGGCTGAGGTCCCTGACTTTCTGGGAATATCATCTTGGCCCCATGAATATCACAAAAGAAGTAAAAACAAATGAATACTGCTCCCTCAAGCTTGGAAGATCATATTTTATCCCTTGCCTGCAGAGCACAAAAGCATCAATCTGTGTGATCCGCTTATCTGGGGCATCTGTGGATATCCACATGAGCTTTTTTGGAGTAAGTTGTCCATTTCATTATGGGCCTCCACCAGTTGTGTCATAAAAGGTGCATGAGCCTCACAAAATATTCTGTGTAAGCAGGTTCCAGCTCACAATGTCAACCTGATGGTGGTGATAAACATTTCCATAATGGTATTGATAAAAAACAGGATTTATCAAGGAAGACTTGCAGTGGTCTGTCACATGGTGTAAAATAAATCAAGATGTGCTCTAAATTAAATTACCTCATCATAAATGTAAAAACTACCAACACTGATTTGAATTATATTGTATAGTGTATCAGGGTATGTTGACAGAATGGACATTTTGCACGAGTCCAAATATCTGGCAAAAAAATTCACCATGATCATCATCACAATATGAGTTAAGTCAACACAATTTTAGTATGGCCACCAAACACCAGTTAACAGTGTGGCTAGTTACATCATATATGAATGCTAGCACAGTGAATGGTCAGTTAACTGACATTTAGACATATGTAAACAACACTGCATTTTGCCCAAGATGCTGCTGGGGTTATGACAGTTATCACTGGGTCATGTACAAAATGCTGTACTTTGGAACAAACTTGATGTAACAATAACCTCTTGTTGATAGTGCAGAATACACAATTTTGTTGGTGACTCGAGCACAATTCTTGCCATCACAGAATCCCTTGCGGCGCAGAAACACCAAAATTACAAATTTTCCAGACAGCGCATTTGGACCTATAACAAGCAAAATAACCCATAAATTAACTTATCACGGCGAAACCCACGTTACCATTTCTAAGTCAACCGTCATGTATCAATAAGCCCCCAACCCACCCACAGTCCTTCCCCGATTTACCCTGATGTAGCCAACAGCCCCTGGTCAACAGCACCAACAGTCAACAACGCCCAAATGCCTCAAGCGCGTCATTATTGCATGAAGGTGTTTGGTGGTTCTTTTCCTACAGTTTGTTTTAGGAAGAAGGTTGCCCTTTTCGCTTGGCTTCAGCGGATGTAGTGTGCATTTTACAATGTATGATTCTCGAGGCCCATAATAAATCTAGCTCGAATTTAGACTGTGTAGGCCGGTGATGTTCGTGAGGACATCTCCCGTACATTTTGCAGTGCTAGCTCGGCCAATGGCTAGTTTGGTTTGTCAATTATCATAGTTGTGCTTAGTTCACTAAGATCCTTGTTTGAGGCACATTTAATACTATTATGTATACAAAGGTGTACAGAATGTTGACAGTGTAAACATGAAAGCCACATCAGTGGCGAGTGGCAGTACAAAGAACACATACTGTCATGGGTTAAATGTACACATTATCTGCTGAATGGTGTAATAATGCATTCCTTGTTTCTAGTTTGATGACTTAAGCAATTTGGGCAGCTTGCTTTTTGGGTCCTTGAAGGTGCAGTTTTCTAACAGGCCACCAGCCTATTAGCCTATTGTCACTTGGCAAAAAATATGCCTGAAAAATACGCCATGGATGGCATCATGTATGGAACAGGCACATCAACAATGAGTAGGACAAGCACAATGACATCCGTATCATCCAGAATATATCACCAGGCAGTAAGCCCCCTAGAGGTAAGGCAGCTCTATTTTTGAAGATTTTATCTTAACCTTTTCAATGGATGGATTTCTGAGAGCAGAGCTTGTGCTTAGCAGTGCTTGTGTCAGTCCTGACCCCTATCACCTGACTGTAATCCCATGTCAGTAGCAGAATTTGAACGTGAAAGCTTAACATGTGATAATGCTCTGCAGGGGGTCCACCTGCCCCCTGCCCTCTGACATCATCTTTACAGAGGTGGTGGGTGGCAGTCGGCCATGCCTGTTGAGGACAAATAGGAAGCCCTAAAGCACTTCTACTCACCCTACCACTAAATGGATTAGAAAGCAGGCACTCTAATCAACTGAGCTATCAGGATTAGTTAAACAAACATACATAGAACCTCTTGCAAGGCACTGTGCAATGGATGTTTTTATATTATCAATATTCATATTGTTTTGTAGTCAGAGCATACTGTGTGCCTCTCTCACACCTGTATTTCTATGACAAATTGATTGACTGTTTATTCAACTACAAATAGACAGGTCTGGGATATTTACTGAAAGATGCTTGGAAACTGGCTTTTATAGCTCTTAGTGGGATAACTTCAAGCAAGGCTGTGTCTGGCTACTAGTTCCGGCTATTTTCTTGTAGTATGATATTATACCGGTGCATAAATGACATATTATAAAAAGCTTGGAGAGCTGACCCGTTGTCAAGCTCAGTATGTGTGAGCAGTAGATCATGCTTTGCCTTTGCTCCCCCCCCCCAAGATGACCTGGATGGAGTGATAAGAATACTGCAGACATAAAAATACTTTGGACACAGTATTATCATTGTGAGCACATCATATCATAAAACCACAATGCAACATAGTGGATGGTAAAGTGAGCAACACATTTCAATGCTATATACCAATCCTACCAGCCAAATCAATCTTGCAATGCTGTGATGATGAATCTTGCAATCTTGTAAAGTGATATTGAACTTTATCCAATGTACTCTTTCCAAGTCCAAAATTATGTTCTTTTCAAGGCACTGAAATTTGTTGGTTGATGTTCCCCATGTGGATGTGATTATACAAGCAAAGTTTGGTGGAGCAAGCTTCATTAGTGATTGGTCACATAATGCCTGCTGATCAGTGAACATCCAGCCTGTGATCACCCAGTAGCCATCAGTGAGTGCTGCCGTGCCCTGACTCTGACGGCGACTATGCACAGGTCTGGATCCAGGGCCAGTGGCGCCGGGCCTCGGCCGCGCTGGACGGCGACTGCCTCGCCGTGACCCTGCACGACCCGGAGGAGGCGGACGAGGCGTCCGCGGCCGCCGACGACGACGCCGTCCGCACGGTGACGGTGACCAAGCGGCCCGACCAGGGCCTTGGCGTCTCGGTCAAGGGCGGCGCCGAGAACGCCATGCCGGTCATCATCTCCAGGATCTTCCAGGTGGGTGGTGGGCGGTCAGACGTCCGGTGTTGTCGGCGCCGTCGCTGTCGCCCGCCGCCGCTCTGGATCAGACGCGCTGACTCCGGGGCTCTGTTGCTCCGCCTGGCGAGCAGCGCAGGACACTCTCCGCTGAGTAGCACGTAGATGGTCACGGGTGATCCCGCGTCCCAGGAAGTTTGTTTGTGTGTTTGTATTTGAAGGTCGGTCAGCAGCCGGCCTGGAGAGTCCGGGTGGCGTGTGGCGGTCATGCCAGGGCGTTGCAAATTTTCCGTCGAAAATGGTGCGGTGAGCTGGCAGTCGAGGCTTATGCTTTGTAATAATTTGAATCACAGAACTCTGGGGGCCATATGATCATCAAAGTCGGCGCACCCCAAAGCCCAAATGATCATCATCATCATGAATCACATAATGACTCACATGATGAACCACATGACCCTGACCCGCCCCGGCGCCTCCGGCAGGGGATGGCGGCGGACCGGTGCGGCGCGCTGCGCGTGGGCGACGCCATCCTGACGGTCAACGGCGAGGACGTGCGGGGCGCCACGCACGCCGCCGCCGTCCAGCTGCTCAAGGCGCCCTGCGCCGAGCTGGTGCTCGAAGGTCGGTGCCGTCCGCGCTCCGGCCGACCACGGGCCAGGCAGCCGCAGGAATACTCCCTGCCGATGTCACGCGACGATTTCAGTGTTCAGCAGGCGTAAAATGGCCAGGGTTACGTGCCGGTTTTTTTGTTCTATTTTTGAGTACCGGATCTTCCAGTGAAGTTAAGATGTATTTTCATTTGACTGGTCGCCATGCATTCTCCCAGGTCGAGGATGACGATCGGTTCGCACCTGTTCGCTCTGTGATATGTCTGTCAACGGTGCGTCCAGCCGTCTGGGCCTGTCGGCGCCGCTGTGACGCCGCCGCCTCGCTGCTCCGCAGTCCAGTACCTGGCAGAAGTGACCCAGCACCTGCGCAGGGCGGCGCTGCTCAGTCAGCTGGGCTGGCCGCCGGCGCCTCTCTACCTGGCGCCGCAGGGCGAGGATGTGTCGGCCACCGCCGCCGCTGACGCCGTTGACGCCGCTGACGCCGCTGACGCTGAGACGCGACTGATCCCGCTCCAGCTCTGTCGGCTCACGCGCTTCTACAGGTGCCAAGGTCAGCAGGTGGCGCTTATTGGCCTGGTCTGGCGGATCCTGTATTGACTCGACGCGACCCGTGATGCGTTGTGACCTTTTCATGACCCACCCGGTGTCTCCCGTGACCCGGTGTCTCCCGCGAGCCGGTGTCTCCTGTGACCCGGTGTCTCCCGCGACCCGGTGTCTCCTGTGACCCGGTGTCTCCCGCGACCCGGTATCTCCCGTGACCCGGCGTCTCCCGCGACCAGGTGTCTCCCGCGACCCGGTGTCTCCCGTGACCCGGTGTCTCCCGTGACCCGGTGTCTCCCGCGACCCGGTGTCTCCCGTGACCCGGTATCTCCCGTGACCCGGTGTCTCCCGTGACCCGGTGTCTCCCGCGACCCGGTGTCTCCCGTGACCCGGTGTCTCCCGCGACCCGGTGTCCCCCGTTACCCGGTGTCTCCCGTGACCCGGTACCTCACGTAACCCGGTGTCTCCCGTGACCCGGTGTCTCCCGTGACCCGCTGTTTCCCGTGACCCGGTGTCTCCCGTGACCCGGTATCTCCTGTGACCCGGTGTCTCCCGTGACCCGGTGTCTCCCGTGACCCGGTGTCTCCCGTGACCCGGTGTCTCCTATGACCCGGTGTCTCCCGTGACCCGTTGTCTCCCGTGACCCGGTATCTCCCGTGACCCGGTGTCTCCCGCAACCCGGCGCGGCCCGTGACCGTGCGCCGATGGCCGGCAGAGCCGCTGAGTCTGGAGCTGTACTCACCGGACCTGCGCCGCTGCTGCCGGCTGCGCTGCCGCGACGCCGGGCAGGCCGCCGGCTGGTTCTCCACGCTGGGCTCCACGCTGAGCGCGCTCACGCAGCAGGTCAGCCCGCTCGGCCGGGGCGGGGTGGTCCGGGTCCTCAGGCGAGCGCCGCGCCACCGGCGATACAGGGCTGGCCGCGACGCTGCTGTTGATTGTCCGTTGGTTGGCGCCATCGTGCTGAAGCATCGTTTGTAGTTGACGGGTTTAGAGAAGGACACACCGGCTCGTGTCAGATCCAGCTTTATGACATCTGGATGTGAGAGGCGTCTTGCTGTCGACCTTCCCGTCATGCAGCAGCTCCGGCCATGCGCGGCCGGCTGTATGTGGACGACATCGGCGACTGGCGCTGACGGCGACCGCGCTCTTGTGCGGCGCAGGCGGTGGAGGCGACGAACGAGAGGGCCCGCGACGTCCTGGACGACAGCCCAGTCCTCCAGATGGGCTGGGTCAGCGTCAGGCAGGCCGAACAGGTCAGTTCCCGCTCTTACCTGCTGATCCTGGCCAGGGGGTGCAATTACGAATAGCGCAGCAACGTGGTATAGAAAAACAGCTGGTATCTTGGTCGTTGTCAATGGCACGGCAAGCACTGCACCATTGCAAAAAAAAGTCATTATCAGTGACGGAAGTTCCACCGCGCGGGTGTCCGTAGGATGCGCCGTCAGCTCTTGTGGCCCTCCTGACCGGCGACCCTCTAATCCGGGACCACCAGTGGGTCCGTCAGCTCTTGTGGGCCCCCCTGACCAGTGACCCTCTGACCCAGGACCACCGGTAGGTCCGTCAGCTCCGGTCGGTCCTCCTGACCGATGACCCTCTGACCCAGGACCACCGGTAGGTCCGTCAGCTCCGGTCGGTCCTCCTGACCGGTGACCCTCTGACCCAGGACCACCGGTGGGTCCGTCAGCTCCGGTCGGTCCTCCTGACCGATGACCCTCTGACCCAGGACCACCGGTGGGTCCGTCAGCTCCGGTCGGTCCTCCTGACCGGTGACCCTCTGACCCAGGACCAGTGCGTGGACAGCCGGCCCTGGGAGCCGCGCTTCGCCGCCATCACCGAGCGCGAGCTGCTGCTGTTCGCCAGGGCGCCGTGGACGCGCGACGACTGGGCCCGGCCGCGCACCGCCCTGCCCATCGCTATGACCAGGTGACCGGCCGCTGCGTCTTCTTCCCGTCCTTCTTCTTCCCCGTCCCTGGCCTGGCGTGACTCTGCACGCGCGCGACACCCTGGGGACGAGCGCCCCGTTGTGCGGACTGCTACCATGTGTGTGCGATTTGACCGTTGGTGTGTGTTTGGCTGTTGGGTGAAACGCACAGAACCAACGTGCAGTGTCGTGGGTGAGTAAGCGCGATTGTTTGCCCGCCTTAACCGCGCGTGTCGCCATCTGTGTGTGCGGGCAGGCTGGTGAGGTACCGGCTATCGCCGCCGGAGGCGCCACCGTCGGCGCCGATCACCTTCACCACGCGCACGGGCACGCAGCGCGGCGTGGCGTCGGTGCAGTGGCGCGTGGGGACGCCGCGCGAGCTGGCCAGCTGGAGCCGCACCGTGGTGCTGGCAGCGCAGGCTGCCGTCGCCCAGGTGGACGAGATCGTGTTCGGTGAGCGGGCGGGGGCGTGAAGCGGGCCGGTGGGAGAAAGGAGGGGCACTGGGGTCGGAGACAGGTCGCAAGAAAGGAAAAATGGGCGAAAGTGGTGTGTCCCTCGCACTGCTGCCGTCGACAGAGCGCCGCTGGCGGAACTGTCCAGTGCTGCTGTGATGCTGTGATGTGGCTGACGTGTCCCTCTCGCCGCTGCCGTCGACAGAGTGCCGCTGGCGGAACTGTCCGGTGCTGCTGTGATGCTGTGATGTGGCTGACGTGTCCCTCTCACCGCTGCCGCCTGCAGAGTGCCGCTGGCGGAACTGTCCGGTGCTTCTGTCGATGCAGCACGAGAACGGCCTGACTCTGCGCTCGGCGCCCGGCCTCGCGCGGGGCAAGGTGCTCTGGCACTACAGCTTCGACAAGCTGACCGACACGTGGGACGACGACCGCGCCACCGTCCGGCTCACATTCGGCGACCGTGAGATCATGGTGCGTGGCCGCCGGGCGCGGACGGCAGACGCCCCGCAGGCCGGGGGACAGGGCGGGGGGTTGGGGTGATGTCCCGGTCCGGGGGGGGTGATCTGTGGCCCCGGTCGATCAGGTCAGTCGGACGGAGGGTTGAGGTGTGCTAATGATGTGGATACGATGATAAACTACTCGTGATGTCAGAGGTGATGGCAGGGACGCATACATGAACGCTGATCGGGACTTCCGATGTCTCCGTCTATGATTTTCCTGTAGTTCGACACAGCTGCCTGTGACGGAGGCAGTTAGCTTCAAGACCGTTTCACGCGTCGATGGCGTGTTGGACCGCTGACGCCATCGGAGTGACTGCAGCGCGCGCCGCCGTTCCAGGAGCTGGACATGGGTGCGTCGCCGAAGCCGTTCGTGTTCGCGCTGCACACCTGCCTGTCTTCGAAGGTGGAGCGGCTGGCGACCTCCTGAGGCGCCGCGGCCGCCGTCCCGGCCGGGACATTGTGACGCATCGGGAGCGGCGACGCCCAGCTGGAGCGGGCGGAGCCGGCGGTCGTCTGCTGTGACGCGCGTGGCGGATGATCTACCCGGCCACTGTCGCCTTACGACACCTCCGCACGAGACGGCCAGCTGTTTTTGACGTGGTTACTCGCTCATTGGTTTTGCGATCCTGTGTCGGATCAAGATTTGGGGAGTGCCGAGCGTTCCGGGCGCGGCACGGTCTGCTGCTTTGCGTGCGGGTTACGTCGGGCCCGCTGGCGCCTGCTTGCCATCCCTTTGTTGCTGTTAAGGAGTACCCCAGGGTCGTGCTCTCGTCCGCCGGTGTGGTGACCGTGCGATGGGTGTCGCTCTCAGGGCTTTGGAACGCACGGTACAACGGCTCCTCTAGTCACGCGTCCCCTGAGTTCCCATGTTGATGTACCGCCCGGTGTTCAGGCTGGGAGCCTGCCAACGCACGCTCACCAAAGCACGGCCAGCGGTGGTAGCAATAGCTGTAACGATCTGGTGTTTTAGGATATTGTGCGCTCGGTTTTCCGAGGCCGTGTTATCTGGTGCCTCTCTACCCGTGACGGCTCCTCTAGTCACGCGTCCCCAGCTGAGCTCGCATGTTGATGTACCGCCCGGTGTTGAGGTTGGGAGCCTGTCAACGCACGCTCACCGAAGGACGGCCAGCTATTGTATTGGTAGCTATAGCTGTAACGATGTGGTGATTTGAAATGTGCGCTCGCTTTTCCGTGGCCATGCTGTCTGGTGCTTCCGTACACCCTGTGCTCTCGCGGAGTGGCCTGGCTGGCCCGAGCTGCCCACAGCTCCAGCTGCCGAGGTTAGCTGTGAAGAAGGTCTGGCAAAGATCTGCTCAATTGTGGTTCTCAGTTATCGAGCAACTTTGGTAAAACGTAATCAAGCCACGCTGCCTGCTCGCGTCAGAACCCGGTGCGTGTCCGACGTCATCTAATGGCGTCACACCTGACGTCATGTATCTATCTAATGACGTGACACGCGTCAGGCGCCTGGCGCATTCAGAGCGCGTTGGCCCTGCGGCGCTGTTTGCGAAAGACACGCGCCACGCACACGTCGGCACCGCGTCGGACAGGCGCTTGGTGGCTCGTCGCGAGCCGTATTGGTTGGTTTAGCTTGTTGAAGGGCTCGTCCCGAGCGGTTTTAGAGCGGTGTAGCCGCATCGTCGATTGTACACGGTGGCTTCCATACGGGTGAACCACCCGTGAGCTTCCTTTTTGTGATTTTGCCGGCGGAACCCGAAAGGGCGCCTCGAGGCCTTGCGAGTTGTTTTCCAAGTGGACTGAGCATCCATAAGCTTGCCAGTGTTCTGGCGTTATTTGTGTGTTGAGTTGATGAGGTTCCGACGCTAGATAGTCCTCGCCGTTCGCGCGGGAGCCTAGTAGTCAGTTTGTTTGCGGACTAACGGTCCGTGCTGCCGCTGCTGTTGTGGGCTGGGCTGGTCCCCAAGCGCCTCGCCCTCCGCCGTCCGCTGCAGCGGAGTGTGGCAGGGAAGCGGTGCCGTCCCTGCTGGCGGCGGCGTGACCCGTGGCTTACCCAGGCTCGAGCTGGTCTCGCCTGCGGGCCGCAGCTCTTTCGCGGGCCTGTGGCGCTTCGTCGCGCCTGGCGGCTTTTCCACGCCGGTGTCTGCCGTGGTTTGTTCGGCGCGTTGTCCGGCACGGCCTCTACTCAGTGCCTTGCTGCGCAGGTGGGATTGTTCGACCCAACCGGCCTGTGTGTTCGGGTTAATTCGCGATTTACACGAAACTACCCAAAATAACTTCGTATGCCAGCACGCTTCTCTGCTGTAATTATCCTTGTGCTATTTTTAACCTCCGTCTTTGACCGTTTAGGAGCAGTTGCGGCTCTGTTCACTCTTGCTGCGTTTGGTCTGATGCGGCGTGTCGCAAAGACGATGTCCCGGCATCTACATCGGAGTCGGGCAATTGACTATCGTTGTTGCCTGTCAGTGTTTATTGCAAACCCATTGGGTTAGATCTGCCGAGATGGAACATCCCGCGGTTGTAAGCTCATGATTGTCGGCCTAGTCATGGTTGTACCTGTGAGTCACTGACGTTGATACTAAACGAGATCTTGCTTTTGCGTTAGCACATTTACCTTTGGCTGTGTCCCGTGCCAACTGAAGCGTTGTTTCTCCTTGTGGACTGAAAATACAATTGCTTGGATCCGGTTGTGGGAATGAACTGGGGTCAAAGAACACCATTCCGCGGGGTGCCGCGGCACCCGAGGGCGCTTGCACGATGCGGAGGACGACGATGAGAGGGGAAGAGGACGCTCGCACGCCGCAGAGGACGAGGACAAGAGAACGCTTGCACGCCGCAGAGGACGAGAGGAGAGGACGCACGCTGCACAGAACGAGGACAAGAGGAGAGGACGCTTGCCCGACGCAGAAAACGAGGACGAGAGGAAAGGATGTTTGCACGCGGTATAGCGGGGCTCGCCGGCACTTCGGCAATGTTACGCGTCCAGTCAAGATCCGCGCCAGCGAGGCTTGTTGTAACGGCCCTGCTGCAAACCGCGAGTGAAGCGGCGCCGTCTAGTCAAATCGAGACGCCGATGAACAATGCGTAGCACAACCATTCGTACTACGAAGTGCAGCTCAAAGTCGTATTGAGTCCGCAAATCAAAGCTGGTGCCGCGTCCGCGAATCGAAGCCGGCGCCGTGTGCACGCGAGTCTGCTTCCACAGACCCCTCCTCCCCGTGTCCTACGCATCCCGCAGCGGATCGGACCGCGGGCCCGTCCCTGTACGGGCTGGCGCTTTTCGCTCGGTGGCGGCCGCACCGTAAAGCAAGACTGGCGGGCTCCAGGAACCGGGCAAGAGAATTTGCAAGGGAAGGTCAGCTGATTCAGGAAGTTATCTATCTAGGAGCAATGCAGTCGTCGGGGATTTCGGACAGGCACGCATACCAAGCTAAGGTCAATGCCTGGTTACGGACTACGGTAGCGAACATACCGTGCTTTAAAGGCATAACATGTGGCAATTTTAATGTGCCGAATGTGGTCCTGCTGAAAATGTTAAAAAGTTTTCAATCGCTATAGTGTATTGAATGGGGTGAACTATGGCCTATATCGAAAAAATGTTTAAACTAAGCCGGCGAATGTCTTTTTTGCGGTCCGAATTATGAAATCGTGTTGCCGTTCCTAATCCTTATCAGCTGGCGCCACCAGTACCACCCCGCGCGGCGCTCGCACAGCGGTGTCAACAGCAGCGGCGCCAGGCCAGAGCGGTTCTTCTTATCGTTGACGTCACCGGAAAGAGTGCCAAACTCGTCTTTGGCCACCTGCCTGCCCATCCGACCGCGTCTGGGAGCGACGGACCAAGCCGCCATTGCTTGGAGACCACGCGGACAGCCGATTGGCGCACCAGAAAGGCTCGGTTCTGATGCCTGGCGGAGACGAGGGACGGTGGGGGGCGAGACGTAATGATTGCGACACTTGCATACGTATGCACTGAAATGTGATATCTTCGGCACGTGGAAGTCTGTGCCACTTATCTCAAGTAAACCTGCGATATCTTGAGATCTCAGCCCGCGGAAGGAGCGCCACGTGCGGTGCTGGCTGCCGCACCGCGAAGTGTCGAGGCGTTTGACAGCTGGCCGTTCACCCGGAGCGGAGCGCGCGGCGCACATTGAGTTTGTTTATTGTCGTTTTCCACACTCATGCATGTACAAACACGAACGCGTCACAGATATCCCACAGTGCCGACACTGGAAAAAATATTTGCCACGGTGCGGGTGTGCGTGCGTGGTGTCATACAAAGCACCGGCTCCACGAGAGCAGTTCAGGCCTGGTCCTTCGATTGCACCTTCTTAATTCACCCAGCAGCCACGACATCGACTAGCGCCTTCTGCCCCGCAACCGCGCTACACCACAGCGCTCGCAGGAATGCAGTGCTCGCCCGGGCGCCTCTCTCCCGCCGCGAGCCAGCGACGTCCCGGACCGGCGGCGGCGCCAGCGTCCGGCGCCTCTCCTCCCCGCCGGCGGCCTGCCCCGCTGCAGGGCTGCGCTGCGTGCGGCGGCGCCGCGGTCGGCGGGCGGTGCTTACGCCCCGTAGTACCGGTACAGCAGAGCCGCCAGCAGCACCGCGCCCAGCGGCAGCAGCCACGTCACCAGGCTGCAACAGGCGGCGGCGGGTGACGTCACCGGGACCTGCCTGCTGGGTGACGTCACCGGGACCTGCCTGCTGGGTGACGTCACCGGGACGCTGAACTCGCCGTCACGCAGGCGCCGCTCCTCTCAGCGGCGAACACGGAGCGGGTCACATCCGGGGAGAACACAACGTTTTAGGTAGGTTCGACCAAACCCATGGCCCTCTGAGGTGATCAGGTGAAGCCGCGCCGCTGGGGCCGAGCTGACGACGGCAGGAGAGGCGACAGCAAAATGATGCAGGTCACCATAGACAATCCGTTCATTCTCGGCAAACACGTGCAAGGCCAACTCAGCCGCGTGCAGACAATGATGTTCCCTTGTGGTGTCGCCTACTTCGGCGGCACAGATACCCCATATCGATACTTTACAAGACAACTATGCGTTCCACCCACGCGTTCCATGACGTGTGGGTGCAGTGGTTTCGTCAAGGCGGGTCGGCACGATTAGGAGTTTTTGTGCTTGGTGCCTCGCGGGCGCCCCGGAGGCCGTTCAGCCGCGGACGCGTGTACAAACACGCCGGCGGGCGGTCATCAGCGCCAGACGGCGGCCCGATCAGGGACAGCTGGTCCGGCCACCTGACCAGCCCGTTCGGCCGATTACCGGGAGCGACCCCGGCCGGGCGGCGGTCCGCGGGGGCGGCCGGCCGGTCACCTACCGCGGCCACCGGCGAGGAGAGGCGAGGAGAGGAGAGGAGAGGACCGGACGGCGCGGCGGCGGGCCGGCCGGTCACCTACCGCGGCCACTGGCGAGGAGAGGCGGGGAGAGGAGAGGACCGGACGGGGCGGCGGCGGGCCGGCCGGCCGCTACTGCTGGCCACAGCAGCGTGAGGCGTCCACCGGCTCGGTGTCGTCCGGCTCCGCCGGGCTGGCCGGACATAGCGACGCCGGTCACACGCTGGAGAACCGGCCCCGGCCGCCGGGTCAGACCGGACTCCGCCGCCGGGTCAGACCGGACTCCGCCGCCGGGTCAGGCCCAGCCCCGGCCGCCAGGTCAGGCCCGGCCCCGGCCGCCAGGTCTGACCCAGCCCCGGCCGCCAGGTCAGGCCCGCCCCCGCCGCCGGGTCAGACCAGGCCCCGCCCGCCAGATCAGGGTCACAGCAGGTCACGGCTATCCGCGGTCAGAGTCCAGAGAGGCAGTGGCGGGCTGGCAGGGATCAGGAGAGCACGCGTACGCAGGGCGCAGGCCCGCACGGAATTACAGTCCGCGGGTCCACTCCCAGGCCACGAAGGCACAGGTGACGGTTCACTCAAAGGTCACAGAGACACCGGTCGCGAATCCAACCACATAGCACATACGGCCGACTGCCGGGGTCCGCCTCCACACATATGAGAGGGGTCCATCGGTCCCCGACTCGGCCAGGGTCACCACCCCCCAACCGCTGGATGATCCGGTGTCATGGCTGGGAGGTTCACCCAACTGGCACGGGGCTATCTTAGCAAACGATCGTATAGTGTTCGCCATCCTAGCAACGCTTATAGCGATACCTTGCTTGCCATACATTACCAATGATCTTACTTGTCTTGCCTATGTCATTAGCTGTCTTATACCGCCTCTTTACCAGGCGTTTCAAAGGGGGTAAGCTATCGCCGATGACGTCACTGAGCGTCGCCGTGACGTCACGGGGTTATTTTTCACTCACCCGGCACCGGAGCTCTCCGGGCCGGACCAGGTGAGCGTGCTCGGCTTCGTGGTCTTCTGGTCCGCCTGCCGACACCGCGGCACAGGGGTCAGTGGGGTCGCACGAGAGGTCAGAGGGTTCGCACGAGAGGCCAGGGGGTCGCACGAGAGATGACAGGGGCCGCACGTGAGGTCAGGCCACCGGTGGTTGGAAGCGGCTGGGCGCCGACCTATCACATCACTACCTTGACACAGGCCTCACAAACACGCACTGCAGCTTTGTCAGCGGTGATTTCACGTGGGCTGAAATCGCGTCTTGCAGTCAGCATTCCGTGAACGGACGAATCGCGGGACACCGACAAGAAGGGGCGGCGAGCTGAGGCGGCTGACGACGCCGGCCCGTATGCTACAGAAGCGGGCTAGTCACCCGACAAGGGGGTCTCATACCTTCGCCAGCTGCTCAGCGTCGCACTCGCTCAGCACCTCACAGCTGCCGGCGGGCTATGATGCTGGCTGCACGCTTATAAGGGCAGCTTATGGTACGCACAAAACGAGGAGCCGGCGCCGTTTGACAGCACGCATTAACTGTTACAACACCCGGTACCGACAATACCATTACAGCGATGAGAGGGGGAGAGCGGGGGAGAGAGCAGCCTCGACATCGTCTCTCTCCCTGCCACGCCAGTGAGTGGGACTACGGTGAGGCCGCTCCGCCGGGTCGCCACCGCCCGTCCCCGGCCAGGTCCGCAGAGTCGCACCTCAGCCAGCTCGCCGATCTCGAACTCCTTCATCATCTCGCGGGCATCGGTGGAGTGGCCGACGTCCTCGAAGTTCTCGGTGGCCTCCTTGCCGGCCATGTCCCGCAGCACCTCCTCGCCGCCCGGGTGCTGGCGAACAGAAGAGCGCGAGCCTTTGAGCGCCTCGTCCCAGCTAACGTATTCGCTGCCTAAGAGTGAATCCAATTAGAGAGCGGAACCGTGGGCTTCACAAGTGGAAATACGAGCACAGTTTAGTTGATCGTATTGGGTGTCATTTATCATCAACAAACGTGTTCCAGTGTCCCGGCGCTGACCCTTCCTGACATACCGACCTATCCAGAGATAGGTCGAGTCCCTGCCCCGTACGGTCAAAGTCAACCAGAGGTCATGCCAGGACGACACGTCCTTTCACGGGTCATGCTTTACGCTACCAGTAGCACGCATGCCATAAAGCAGGCAATCACTTCACTTGTAAAGCATTTCACACGAACGGTACGCCTGGGAAGTGCAGAGAAACAGCTTATTTCAAGGATAGCACCGATCGGAGAGCATAAAAGACAGTATCAACGGCACACACATGACTGCAGTTCTGCTGGCTCGTTTCGGTGTTCCGGTCGTATTTACTGACACCAGACACCCTGCACAAAAAGCGTCCTTCGTCCGCGCTATCGACGCGTAAAGCTGGCGCACCAGGCTTTCATAAGAAGCCAGATCCCCCCGACGGTGGCCGAGTCCCGGCATTTGCAGATGACCGAGTCGGAGCGTGAATCACCAATTGTGCAACATTAGAACTGGCCCGGCTCCAGCGAGACGGCAAGTGCTCCATAAAGCTGCTAGGTCGTCGGGTGCGGCAGCGGCGACAGTGCGCCGGGCTCTACAGTCCAGCAGCGCGCGCCATCTCGGCCAGTGCTCCATAAAGCCACCAGGTCGTCGGGCGCGGCAGCGGCGACGGCACGCCGGACCCTCAAGCCCAGCAGCGCGCACTCGTGACCGGAACAGCTCGGCTCCACGTACAGACGCGTCACGTCATGTAAACACTGGCGCCTGGCGACCACCAGCGTCGGTCCGGGCGCCGCGGCGCCTCCGCCTCTGCCGCCCCCCCCCCCTCCCCCCTCTCGTCCCGCCCGGCAGGTAATAGCCGACACACATCCGTCAGCCCCCCCAGCCCCCACCCCCACCCACATCCCCGCGCAGAGAACGGGCCAGCTGCCACGCCGGCCAACTGCCGGGTCGCTAATGACCTAATGACCCCGCCCGGCGACACGTCGCGCACCGCAGCCGACGCGTCGGGCCACGGCGGCCGACTGAACACAACGCCCGGTCGGCCGGGGTTCAGTCTGGGTGGGCCAGACGGGCAGGGTCGATCTAGTGTCCATGAGCCGCCGCGCTGTTGCCAGACAGCCTCAGCGACCGTCTGGCAACACGTGATGCCGACCCAGCAGAAGCGTCACCACAAAAAGGGAACAACTTGCCCATGGTGTTGATGAAACCGATGCCATTTTACCCTCACGCCCCTGTCTTCCATAATTTATGCAAAGCCATATATCAGGAGTTCGTGAACTTGAAATTGTTCCTGCTGGCAGCAGCTGATTGGACGTCATAAGAAATGTACCGGAGCTCCAACGAGCCACAACCCTTCGCTTCATGTTCACCTCCCATTGTGGTACCGCCCACCACCTTCTGCTGTAATTCGGCCGACTCATGGCCTAATTCGGTGAGAATGCGCCACGGCGAATGCATTTTCGATGATATTCAAAAGCCCTGCCAAACATCGCTCGAGGCCACCGACGCCGGTCCCATCAGATCCGAAGTCTCCGAGACTGGCTGCACCACTGGCGCTGTCACAACTCCGCCGACTCGACGTCGGCGCAGCGACAACGGCGGCGGCTTCGAGTGGCGTCCGCCGGTGCCGCACACGACCGCTGCAGCCCGCCAGCCCGGGGCGCCCGCGCGTGCCGCGGCCGGCCGCCGCCCCGCGGCCAGCGCAGTCCCACACGGCACGTTACAAGACCGTGATTAGTTACAGACTGAGCCAGACATCGCCGTTATGCGGGGATCTCCGTAAGCTGCTCGGCAAGCGAGGAAACGGGCTTTGCGATGCGGCCCGAATCAAGAGGCTCAGCTCAAGCCGCGAGTGGCGCACCGACATGGAGCACGCGTCCTCGGCCACCGCAGTCCGACACAGTACGTTACAAGACCGTCCTTGGTTACAGACCGGGCCAGACATCGCCGTAATACGGGGTTCTCCGTAAACTACTCGGCAAGTGAGGAAACGGGCTTTGCGATGCGGCCTGAGTCAAGACGCTCAGCTCCAGCTGCGGGTAGCGTGCCGAGAAAGAGCCACGCGTCCTCAGCCAGTGTCCGGACGGCAGGCAGCATGCGGCCCTCAGAAGGCCACGCGCAGTCCGCATGCTACGCGACACAGTCAGGGGAAGGCTGCGAACGCGCCACCAGACCGCCGGGATAGTGAGACCTATGGCAGCTGCCCGGTTCGGCGATGGGTCGCCATCACCCCGTTGTGCGCCACCCTCCTCAACGCACCGTTCGCAGCTGTATCAGCTACTGCCTGAGGGTCCGATTCTTTAATTCGCCGGGCGTTTTCAGAAACGCACTCGCAACTTATCACCAAGAATAATAAGAATAGAGTAAGACGCTTGTGCACGCAAGATTACCGTGGACACGTTAAAATGATTACCGTAAAAAATGTAACTTCCAATCCACGCCCCCCCTCCCCCCCCCCCCCGCCCACCATCACTCCGTAGTACTCCATCCACTGCGGCTCTTACCTCGTCCATGAACTTGGTGACATCGTACACACGATTGTGGATGATCATCCAGATATCAGGGTCCCCGGTGTGCTGCTGCACCTCCTTCAACGAGAACACTTTCTTCTCCGAACCCATGCCGCTTGATGTGCTCGCAGTCTGTGAAGACACACACCACACTGAGAACGAGCCACGCCACACCGCGCAGACAGCGCCCAGCCAGCTTTGAGCTGGCAGCCTTTTTATAGAATATTCACTTTCAGCCTTACTTCCGAATACATTACATCAGTGGTTTCACACTACGACGACCGCGTACGCACTGCCCACCGGGGGGTTGCGTGCACAATAAAACCAACAAGCCACGTAGTGCAACTTCGGTCCAATTGACGGTTTTTCGTCGGCCATGTTACGCGTACAGGACCTCGAGCCGGGGATCCTGCCGCAGCATCACAGCCCGGCTGTCCCGCAAGACTCCAGGGTGCACTACAAGCGTGAGTGACCGGCGGGTCGGTGCGAGAAACTGTGGGCCCGTTCGTCGTCACAATCTTAAAAATCTGTTCCAAACCATCACGCCGCTCCATTCCTTACTTAAGGCAGTGTGTGAATGGCAGCCCGACCACCGACAGCACCAGGCGGCGATCCAATCCAACATAGCCAAAACAGCTGACCACAATCACAGCTGGACCAGGAGCACAACACGTCAAGCCAGGCACGTGACCAGAACGTGGCCCAATGCATGGTGTGACGTAGTACAGTACATGGGTGTGAGCGACTATATCATCTAATGAGTCCAGCTGGCACCTAAAGCACAGGAACCTACTGTCAGCACCAAGCTCAACAACACCGGCTTTAAAAGAAACTTGCTGAGTTCAGACTAGGCTCGGTTTCATTCGCAAGGTTGTTAGCCGCGATCTTTCAAAGAAGCCCGGTCAAAATGGAACAGCAAGCATTGATCCCCCTCCCCCTCCCCCCAACAGTAACGGAAGACTTTTGACTTGACCCGAAAGGGGCCAACACTGGGTCGGGTCTACGCTTCACGCCTGACCCCGGTTATCGCCCGAACCGGTGTAGTCTCGATCCAGATCAGTGAGTTTACACGGTGCGGCTGTTGGCTGACAGCCAGGGAGCCTTGGTGTGAGAGTCGAGCCACGAGGCGACGCAGAATCTACCGTCGAGTCCTTACGAGTACTGAGTGTGCAAACCATACTTGTGAAGATAACTCAATATTTTCCAAGGCAGAAATGCCTATCTTACAACCCTTAAAAACCGGCCCAAACCCCATAAGCTGAAAGCCACTCGCTATCTGCGCTTGTCTGGAATGACCTGCGGTCGGTGGCAGCTGTCGTGCTAAAGATCAGCTGATATCAGAGGGCAGGATGGACCGTGCCGAGCATTGCCCGTTAAACTTACATCGCGAAATTCTGCCATCCAACCGAAATTTCACGTCCTGGTGGTAAGGATCGTGGTTATGCAACAAGCATTGCTTGGCGTGATGTACAGCCACATAAGTCCATTCATTCAAGAGGTTTGCACTATTTTTTAACCGAAAACTATTGTTAGTGGTGTCAGTCAAATGTCTACTGTAAACATGCCCTAAAATAAGTTAGTATTATTGAATTAACTTTAAACAAACCTACATCTGCTAATAAGCAGATCAAAAACATCAGAAGATCTAAAGCTGGAAATATGTTAGGCATGTACGCCCTATGCAGGCAACACATCAACCAGCATCTCCCGGGTTTCATTTAAAGGAACATAAGTCAATAGTGTGTGATATGGTGTGGAAGACAAAACAGCAAACATTGGCAGCAATTCAGCCTTTGAGGTAATCTCTGTTAGCCTAAGAAAGCTGGGCTCATCTCTAGCTATCAGTATATAAAAATCATCACATTTTTTAGGTAATTTATATTGGCTCATCTTATCTTAATAGGCTTCAGATGTTGAAACATTCTTTTACCCGAATTTCTTATTCTCACCGAGCTGACAACTAGCAATAGGCGCTCAAAAGTATTAAAAACATACTGATAGATAACTTAAAATACAACTGGCTTAAAGGAGGGCCAGAGTTACTTTAACTTACTTTGCCTCAACTTATCGTGATCGGGAATTGTAACAGACCACTTGGTCCGTCGGTCCCGGTCTCCTCAGGCTGCCCGTCCGGTAACCAAACATTCTCAAATTATGGGTAGATTCAGTGCGGAATGTCATGATTAATGTCCGCCCAATGCATATCAAGCCTAGACTTTAACTGTTCAAATGACGTTTACGGTATGACCGGGTGTGGAGGAGCGCTCCGATCGTTCACGACCCACGTGCTGAGCCAGATACGACGGAGTTTTTTTTAGCTTCCATCGATGTTTTCTTGCCACCTCCGAGTCGTGTCTTGTCAGGAACTCCTCTTCCAACAGCGACATACCTCCGTGAAACAGCTGATACGCTGTAACCATGTCTCCCATGCGACGACGTTAGTACAGCGAGGGTAAATGGAGGGGTCTGAGCCTCTCAGCGACCGGTGCCTCACTTCGTGAGCAAGACGCGTAGCGTCTATTCTTTGTTTGTCTATGCTATGTTTTAATACTTGTCGAGCCCTTTTCGGCGGGCTCGACCGCGATTTCGGCACCGTTCAAGAAGCAGGTCAGTCTCAGGTTACAGTTCCTGATATGCATTACTTTGTACTTTGTTGCATTACAGGGTAGCAGTCACTCCTCTGACTGCCTGACCAGGGCGTCGAGGTCGACCTGTCGAGGGGACTCAGTCAGAGGCTCGGGACACAACAGTTTATATCGGTGTCATCCGCGAACACGCTGACCACGCTTCGCACTTGATCTGATAGGTCGTTCATGAAGATTATGAGTAGCAATGGTCCAAGCACTGATCCTTGTGGAATGCCGCTGACGACGTCCACCCAATCCGATTTCAAGCCCTGGACCCACACTTTCTTCATCCGTGGATAAGGAAAACCCTGATTGGGTGCAGCAAGTTACCTCTCACACCTTGAGCATGGAGTTTGGGGAGCAGACAGATATGAAGCACAGAATCAAAGGCTTTGCTGAAGTCCAGGTAAGCTACATCCACCAGCTCCCCATCCTCTACTGCAGCACTCCAATCTCTCAAGACTTCTAATAGCTGGGTGATACAGGACTGCTTTGGGAGAAACTGATTTCTTTGCCACTATCTGGGTAGATGTCTACATCATCCAGAAATGGTCCATTAAAGTTGCAAGGCATCACAGGCATGGCACTACACCCTTCATCAATAAAAATAATGGCAAAAAAAAATGTGAAAAAACATTATGCTTTCCTTTGTTGCTGCTAGTCAGCAATCCATCACCATCAAGGTCTTCTACCCTGCATCTTGTGCATAGTCTTGAGTTGGCATGCCTCCAAAAAGCCTTGGGGTTCCACTTGAGGTTTACTACTAGTTTCATCTCAAACTCTTTCCAAATATATCTGGTCAGCTTCCCTAGGTCATTCTGACATAATCTTTATATATTCATCTTCAATGCATGACCCTTGGGATCATGTGCACATTCTTTGTTGGTCTTGTCCTTTTCTCAACAGATCTATTCACAGAGAGACAAAGTAGTCCTACTCTTGAAGAAGGGTAACTGACAGTCCCCTGTGAGCTATCACCCAGTGAGTCTTACTGCCATTCCCTCCAACACTATTCACTATAGAGCAATTATACAAAAATGAGCTAGGAGGAGTGACTGAACAGTCAATAAGTAAAAAGCCGCCTACAACATATACCAACAAATTGCTGCCTCCCTGGATTATATCTCTGGGGGGGGGGGGGGGGGATGGAGCCATTCAGTTGAACAAGAAACTACACACTAACTCAGAAATGCCTTGCCACACTTCAATCTGGTTGGATGTGGTAGAGCCAACACAGTTGCAGCTATATGCAGCACAGCTGCAGCTACATGTCCTGCATAGCAGCCCTATAGCTGCAACAGGTTAAGCACACATGTGCCGTACCATAAATACATGAGCTCACAACTTGGTGTACTAATTTAAGCTCAAGAAGAGCCAACTGCTCAACCACATATGATGCTGGAGAAAATATCAGCCAAAAACGTCCCAATGTTTCTCCAAATAGCAGCACTACATCTTTGTGAGCTGGCCGGCCTGAGACAGTGTTTCAGCGCACGCGAGCGCTGGTTCAGCGCGCTTAACGCGCGCGGGCTTAAGGCACAGTGGGTGGTTTTAGAGCGGACTGGCATGGAGCATGATCCAGATATACCTAGAAAAAACTATAAACAAGGCGATGAAGTAGTTCGGGATCATCCGAGTATGCAGGGACGAAGTCTCGTACGCTGCACAGTGACACTTCTTCCGATGAACATCTTTAAAAGGATAAAAGGGACTCACCGATTACGCCGATTACTCAACCGAAATGCAAAACTCCTGCCAAGTGTTCGCAGGGATTTCAGCCACGCACGAACAGATGAATCCTTTTCCGCACAATGGCAGACACACCCGCCCCCGCACGACCACCTCTCTCTACCAGAACCAAATCCCTCATGAACTGGGAGCCAGAACTGCACCCAGACTGTTTTGTTCTTCTATTTCGTCACACAGCCTCTACTTTTGTCCCTTAAAGGCCAGAGCAAAGACAATTGAAAGCAAGACATATATCATATGATGTCATCAAAGTTTACAAAAACATCTGTTTTTTGTCACTAAGTAGATGGATCAAAAATTGTTCTACATAAATTCAGAGCAAATCTCAAAATTTGTATATTGCACTTGTAGTTCAAGCTGCTAAATCTAGTTATGACGACACTATTTAGCTTATGCAAGGATTTGGATATAATCTAGCGTGAGAGGCAAATACTAACCTGTTTACAGCCAGTTGAACATCAGTAAAATTTCTGACTATGATCCTCCGATGAACGTGGCTGAAGAACGTGATTGGCCAGAAACGCAGAGACGTGTCGTCGTTTAGTATCGTCGAATCCACCTCATCCCGTTGCTTACGGGTCGTGATGCCGGACTTGGGGGCTTCGTAGAGCAAGGCCGCGAGGCTGTGTGGGTATCGCATGGGAGGGGCGTTTGGTTAGCGATTAAAGCGGTCGGAGTGAATTGGTCCACTGCAGTAAACGAGGGAGTGAAAATTGTCTGTAATTTCATGGTGTTGCATGTGTGTTAGAGCAGGCCAGCCCACAATCGGCGTGCCAATCAGTGCAATTTCATCTGCATCCTGGATTGAATCAAGTCCACTGATCAGTTTGAGTAAACAGAAGAGCCAGCCCAGAGTTTGAAGCAGTGATAATCTTCATGTAGACATAGTATGTAATTTAGGAAAGGGAACTAAGTCAGAGATGTCATGGTCACAGGGATGTCGTGAAGTGATCTTAAGGATGACCCATAACCAAGTCAGTTTCACAGTATTCTAGTTTCACAGCAAGAGACTGAAATTTATATCTACCTGCAATTGTTCATTTCCTTTTGAAGCCCATAGAGCTGCTCACTGCTTAGATGTCTGAAAGTCTGCTCCACTCCGCAATAGCATGCTGCTAAAGAGAATGTGCATCCTTTCTTGAAAATCCTATGATTAGGCTGGCAGATTGTCAAGTTTCCCTGCCTAACAACATTTGGGTCAAGGTTGATATTTGTGCCTGACTTAAGAAGACTAACTAACCAAGCCTTCTCATCAGTAAGCTTGTTTTTTTAGACAATAAAATTCTGCACCCATTGCCACTATGACCTGCAGCTCTCCTTTTGATTTGTGGTGTAATATCTCAATAAATCACCGATTGGTATGCAGAACCCCATCCTGGAAATAGCATGAGCTGATCTTGGTCCATTGTGATGGCCTTGGTGTATCAGTATGTGTCCTTGGCATTATAAGCTGTCTGCCATAATTATCGTGATTATTTAATTCTTGTCCTGGTAAAGTAAGGCAGACATGTTAACCATAGTCAGTCTATGTCTTTCTTGTTGCTCCTAGAGAGAAATGATTTATTTTGTATATAGATGCAAGTACCTGCTAATCATCTTTTTGTGGCAACTTATATAACTACCAAATGGAATAAGGAAATGCCAGAGTGGTGTGGCACTTAAATGTGAGGGCTGGAATTGAATTTTGCACAACCATAAACCAGCAGAATTATGTCATTGTACCTTCATTGTCAACTCATGTCCAGATCTGGATATGTCAGCAAGATGTTAACATTTCTCTAATGCATGCTCAGTGTTTTGAAAAGCCACAGCTTTCTTTACTTTGTTATTGGCATGCTGACTTCTGTATTGGTGCCATAGCTAATGCCAATAGCAACTTGAGCTCAGCCCACCACAGATAGGCTTATGGTCAGGAAGGTATTCAAACCAACTGAAATATGGAGTCAGGCAATTGCAATATTTTCCTATCAGTCATGCTATTTCTCATTTTCATTTTCTAGGCTGAATGTGTTTCAGTTGCCTGGCAGCAGACTTCATTATGGATCAGATACCATCAGCCCAAGAGCCTAAGGGACTTGATAAAAACACCCTGGTGGCAGTTCTCCAATTTCTGAACAAAAATAGTTTGCAGGTAAGCACAATTCTGTATCATCCATAATCATTGTTAATGTCCTATTATGTTTCAATAACTGGTGTTTGTAAATAAAGATCATGTTGATTTCAATTTTATATGTGCACAGACTGCCTCTAGATTTGAATTGCCTCATTGGCTCAGTTCGGCTGCTGCTTAAAACTCTGCAACTGATACGTTGATTTTACTGTAACTGCACTTATTTCTTTTTTATTCAGAAAGCACTAAAACAGGTTCCCAAGCTGATGTCTGCATGGTGATGGTAGATATGTAACAGTTTTTATCCTGGGGCTGTGTCACCTCTCATCATCTGTGTTGGAGTTGTGCAGCATGTCTGGAGGTGCCCTCCACCTCACATCTTTGCTGTGTGGCTGACCTGTACATCCACCTCCTGCCAACCATGCCCACATCACCAGGGTGCAGAGGACGCCCTGAGGAAGGAGACCGGCTTCTTCGAGAGCGTGGGCGGCGGCACGAGCGGCGGCCCCGGTCCTGGTGACGTCAGCAATGTTCTCTCCGTCTACAAGAGCGAGGGTGACCCGGAGGCATACACGAGCAACTACGTCAACCTCAAGCTGTTCGTCGAGAAGGCGCTCGACATCTACAAGGTCAGCCCGGATGAATGACGGGGGGTGAGGGAGGGGGGTGGGGGGGGGGGGGGGTGGACAACGTCAGGACGAGCTCCGGGTCGTTAGGTCATCTGATTGTCAGGTGGCAAGCACTGAATGTGACACTGCAGCACGTGACCGGCGTGACGCCCTGCACTCGACACTATGTCACCTTGATGTTGTGTTGACACATGTGCTGCAGGGGGGCGTCAGGGCCGCGTGGTCAGCGCTGTCGACCCCCATGTGGCGGTCTGAGTTTCGAATGGAATTTGAATGAGCGTCATCACTGCCTCTGAGCTCTAATGGGCCTCCGCAGTCGCCGGCGCTCCATTAAAGGGCGCGTGACAACGTGCGCCACGTTTCCTTTTACCAAAAATACATGAGACACATAGTGCTCAGTGTTGTAACACGTGTTACTGTGGCCATGTCTAACAGTAGGCAGATCAGTACTCGATGTGACCCGAGACACTTTAAGACGTCATATCGTGCCTCTTGGCTTAAACGGTTAACACCGTAACACGGGACACGGTAGCATTTCACGCTGTGACACCCACTTTGCGACTCATGACCGGTAACACCGCAACAGCTAACATGGCGATTCATGACACGTGGTGCCATGACTCACAGGACACGGTAGCACGTGCAACTGACAGCATGCTTATCACACCATGATACGTGACACCATGACACGTGATGCCATGGCACATGACACCATGGCGCGTGATGCCATGACACATGACGCCATGATGTGACTCCAGAACACTTGCTACCACGCCACGTAACACCACGACATGCGACACCACGACAATGGCACGTGGCAGCATGGCACGTGACCTGCCGTGACCGACGTTGCCCCTGCGTCGCAGTACGAGCTGGGCCAGCTGCTGTTCCCGGTGTTCGTGCACATGTACCTGGAGCTGGTGTACAACAACCACCCGGCCGAGGCGGCCAGCTTCATGACGGCCTTCGGCGGCGAGCAGGAGGACTTCTTCCAGGCGGACGTGCAGCGCCTCAGCCACGTCACGCGCCGCGAGCACATGCAGGAGAACGAGCTGATCCAGCACTTCCGGTGAGTGTCGGCTCCCAGGGCCTGACCCGCATCGCGGAGGGGGGGGGGGGCTGGTGACGGGGCACGTGTGGTCTGAGGGGTCCGGGGTCTGACCCGTGCCGCGAGGGAGGAGCTGGTGGCGGGGCACGTGTGGTCTGAGGGGTCCGGGATCTGACCCGCATCGCGGAGGGGGAGCTGGTGATGGAGCACGTGTGGTCTGAGGGGTCAGGGGTCTGACCCGCACCTCGGAGGGAGGAGCTGGTGAGGGAGCACGTGTGGTTTGAGGGATCCGGGGTCTGACCCGCACCACGAGGGAGGAGCTGGTGGCGGGGCACGTGTGGTCTGAGGGGTCTCGGATCTGACCAACACCGCGGAGGGGGAGCTGGTGACGGAGCACGTGTGGTCTGAGGGGTCTGGGGTCTGACCCCGCGCCACGAGGGAGGAGCTGGATGCTGATGAAGGGAGCAGTGGCGGCGTTAGGAGACATGCTTGGGGGTGGGGGGGGGGGAGGGGGAGGGTGGGTGGGTGGGAGCTGAATTACAGTGTGATTGTGGGTGGCCACAGGGGTCAGGGTACCTTGAGGCCGGGCGCAAACTGATGCCTTGCAGCAGGAGAGAAGGGGAGAGAATAATCAGTGTGATAGTCTGCCTATTGCTTCTCAACATTGATCTGCCGAGATATGTCTGATCTGTCCTGTATTGGGCGTAGGCTGCAAGATACTCGATATCACACGCCTTTATGTCCGTAATTCGTATGCACAGCACTGCTGGACGAGGTGTGCACACCAGGCGGATGCAGTTCGCCACCTCAGGATGGTGCCTTGCGCGTGTGTGCCGCCTGTCTCTGACCCTGCTCCGCGGCTTCCCCGCCTGACGCCCGGCTGACATCGCACGCGCCCACCCGGCGCCGCTCCGCCGCCGACGCACGCCGCCCTCCCACTAACGGCACGCCCGCCGCCCCGGCAGTTCCAACCAATACACGGTGCGGATGTGCCGCGACAGCTACGTGATGCTGAAGCGGCACCTGACGGAGAAGCAGCACAGCCTGCTGACGGGCCTGGTGCAGGACCACCTGCTGATGGACGTGTTCGAGGGCGTGCCGCGCGGCCGCCAGCTGATCCAGCACACGGCCGGCGCGCTCGAAGGCGACCCCGGCAGACAGGGTCAGGCTCGGCGGGGAGCGGGGGTGCTGGGCTCGGGCTCGGGTCGGTGGCGAGGTCAGCGTCAACCATGGGTGGGGTCAGTGGTTAGCGGCCAGTGGTTCGGAAGCGTTTTGTGCTTGAGTTGCTGTCACTGGGGGTGTTGTCGATGCCGTGATTATGGGCTTGGGTTGGTTGCTGACG